GCCAGTGAGATTTATACTTTCACTTATTTTCCTGTTACTAATTGGTGCCCTGTTGTTTCAGCTTAAAGAAGTCCCTATAATATTTCTTGTAAGGCCCATCTAGTGGTGATGAACTCCTTTAGCTTTTGCTTATCTGGAAAACTCTTTATCTTTCCTTCAATTCTGAAAGACAGTTTTGGTGGGTAAAATATTCTTGGTGGCAGTTTTTTTCTTTCAGCACTTTGAATATATTGTGACAGTCTGTTCTAGCCTGCAAAGTTTCTACTGAAAAATCTGCTGATAGTCTTCTGGGGGTTCCCTTGGACATAACAAGTGGTTTTTCTCTTGCTGCTTTTAAGATTCTCTCCTTGTCTTTAACCTTTGACATTTTAATTATAATGTGTCTTGGTGTGGGTCTCTTTGTGTTCATCTGATTTGGAACTTTTTGGGCTTCCTATATCTGGATGTGTGTTTCCTTTCCCAGGTTAGGGAAGTTTTCAGCCATTATTTCTTTGAAGAAGATTTCTGCCCCTTTCCCTCATCTTCTGGGATTCCTGTAATGTGAATGTTGGTCCACTTGATCTGTCCCATAAGTCCCTTAAGCTTTCCTCACTATTTTTCTTTTTTTTTTTTTCATTTTGATGCTGTGATTGGGTAAGGTCCATTGCCCTGTCTTCAAGTTCATTGATCCTTTCTTCTGTTTCACCTAGTCTGCCATTGTATGCCTCTCTTATATTTTTCAATTCTGTTATTGTATTCTTCAGCTCTGTAACTTCTATTTGGTACTTTTAATATTTTCTACCTCTTCATTGAAATTCTCACTTTGTTCATGCATTGTTTTCCTGAGGTTGGTGAGTATTTTTATGACCATTATTTTGAACTCTTTATCAGGTAAATCACTAATCTCTGTTCTTAAGGTCTTTTCCTGAGGTTTTATCTTATTCTTTCATTTGGACCATATTCCTTTGTTTCTTCATTTTACTTGACTCTCTCTGTTGGTTTCTATGCATTAGATAAAACAGCCACCTCTCCCAGTCTCTAAGGAGTGGCCTCATGTAGGAGATGAACTTTATCATTCAACCCTGTCCTAGCTCTTGGTTATCTCTGAAACCTTTGTGATTGTCCAAGCAGTCTAATTTATACTTCCTGGCTCCCAGCAGTTGAGGGTGTGCCAAGACCTGTCAGTGTCCCAAAGTGGAGAATATCAGTCAGCATTTAGATTCAGACTGATTGGAAACCAGACCCTCAGGCAGCAGCTTTTGAAATACACAAATATACCTCTTTGGGTGGGTGGGGGGAACACTGAGAGATGGACATTTCTGTCTGCTCTCTCGGCAGACAGAACCCTGGGGTGATAACCAGTTAAGAACTATTTCTTTGTTTGCTACTATCCTGTTGAACCCATGAACACAAGCCCCACTGGCCACCAGAGTCAGGCCATCCAGGGATTTGTCCTCTGGGTGGCAGCAACAAAAGTTGGGCACCAGTTGTGTATGCAAGCTTCTTTCTCAGAGACACCAGTGCTCTGGAGCATGGCAGAGGAGAGTGCAAAGATAGTGTCAGCCCTCCAAGGTCTCTGGAGAGGGTTACAGTTGGCCCATAGATGTGTGTTTGGTTAGAAGCCTACCCCCTCAGGCTACAGCCATGAAGATAAGCTCTGCTGCACCCGGGGAGTAACCAGTTAAAAAGTCATTCTCAATTTGTTACAGTCCAATGTGACCCTCAAACATAAGCCCCACTTGCCACCAGAGCCAGGAAATCAAAAGGCATCCCCTGGGTGGCAGCTGCAAAAAACCAGGGCACTGGACATGTGCACAAGCTCCTTTCTGGGAGATACTGGTGACCTAGCATGAGGCAGAGGGAGAGCACAACGATGGTGCCTACCAGCCTCTGTCTTTGGAGAGTATTTCAGTAGGCCTCTAGTTGTATGTTAAATTAGATGCCTGCCCCTCAGGCCAAAGCTTTAAGATAAGCAAATAGGCCACTTTCACAGAAAGATTGGGTGCTTTTCAGTCTGTTGCCTCTGTGCTGCACCCTTGGGTGTAGCCAGATGAGTCTACACAGAGCCCTTTAAGAACTCTTTCCCAGTTTGCTATAGCCCTGTGGGTCTCGTGGATACAAGCCCTGTTGGCTTTCAAAACTAGATGTTTTGGGGGCTCATCTCTCAGGTGTAGGTCTTAAAAGTTGGGATGCCAGATGTGGGGTTCAAACCCTTGACTCCTCAGGGAGAAGCTCTGGTTTTTGGGTTCCTTCTGGATTGTGGGTCCCTGCACCAGGGATGGGGTTTATGGTGAGATTGTATCTCATTTTCTCCTACCAGTTTCAGTGTGGGTTTTTTCTCATTTGCTGGATGTGTAGGAGTCGCTCCTACACATTTGTTAGTTTTTGGATTTCTCTCAGAGGAAACTGTTATGTAGCTATGGATTTGGTGTGTCCGTGGGAGGAGATGAATTCAGGATCCTCCAATATCACCATCTTGAACTGGAGCTTGGTTCTTTTTCTTTTGTGGCCACCTGTTCTTTTCTCATTTCTCTGTTTGTTTTATTTTTTCTGTCCTTTTTATAGATTCTTAGATCTATAGATTTTTAAATCAATATATATTCTCAAATATTTTATATGTTCTCAAACCTATAAATCTCAAATCTATAGAGTCCTTCCTATATCCCTTTGAGCATCCTAAATACCATTACTTAAAAATTTTTTAGTATGGAAAATTTCAAACAGAAGTAGAGATCCTCTTACTTCAACAATTATCAACTCATCGCCAATATTATTTCATCTATACCTCCCATACTCTAACAACCCCAGATTAAACATAAAGATTTTTTTTTTCAGATTGCTTTATAAAATTAATTTCACCTGGACTGAGTTTTTACTCTGATTGTATTTTATGTTGGCTATCCCTCTGACTGTTAGATTTTTTTCATGGGTTTTGTAATTTTTATTTTTGAGAGGATTCATTTTGAATGGCAGACTTTAAAAAAATGTGGCTTTTATAATTTGTTAAATTTGTTTTCTCTCCTTCTGATTCTTAGCCTTCCTTGTGTGGTGGTTTTGTGGTTTCTCCCCCTTACCCCCCATCTCCCCTGATCCCCAAGTCCAGAGCCAGGTGTTACAGCAGTGGTTTACATCCTCTGTTCTGCTGTGGTGAGGCAGATCCAGGCAGAGCTGACCTGTTTCTGGTCCTGGTTGTGGGGCTGTGTCCGTGTCACCGCATCCCCCAGGTCCATAGCTTCATTTAGTCTAGTTGCCCAGATGGCAGCTGGAGGCAGCCTCCTTCCGCAGTGGAGGGATCTGGACCTTGCCCCTGATGCTGCCTCTCCTATAGACCACTTTCAGTCCCTTCTGTCCCACAGGAACCGAGGATTTGGCCCCCACTCACCAGAGCCCGCAGGCCTGGGTTTCAGCCTCACCCACCGGTCGGCATATCTTCTCCACTTCTGGTTCATGGCAATATTTATCATGTTTTTAAGCCTGGATATATTTGTCTTTTACTTTCTCTTTTTGTATTTTATCCATTATTCTATGTTTTCGGAGGTGAGGAACTGTACCACATGACCAGAAATCTCCCATATATTTGGTTTTGAGTTTTCTACCTCTCCCCTGCCTTTTTTTTTTTTTTTTGTGAGGAAGATTGGCCCTGAGCTAACACCTGTTGCCAATCTTCCTCTTTTTTCTTGAGGAAGAGTGTTGCTGAGCTAACAGCTGTGCCAATCTTCCTCCACTTTGCATGTGGGATGCCACCACAGCACGGCCCGATGAGTGGTGTGTAGGTCTGCACCTGGGATCCAAACCCTCGAACTCTGGGCTGCTGAAGCGGAGAGCACGAACTTAACCACTATGCCACCAGGTTGGCCCCTCCCCTGCCTCTTTTTAACAACATATGTACACCAAAAGTTTGTTTTCAAAGCATTTTTTGGTCTTATTTATAAATGTTGTTCAAATACTATTGAAGGAAACAAAGAGTTAAAAAATTTTGGTGACCATCTCATTCTTGTAAGTAGGTGTTTACACTTTAGAATATAGCCATTCATAGGCTGTGCTTTGAAAACTTCATTTTACAATTCCAAGGAACTCTAGGATTCAGTTATTAACTACTTGTTCTCCAAAACAGATTCTCAGTGCTGTCTACCCCAGTACATCCTGTTTGCTCTGACCCACAGGCTCTGCTATTAGCCAAGCTGGATTCCTACTGTTACTGGATTCACTGCCCCTAAAGGCAGCCTTTTCCCTCCTGTAGAATGTCCTCTCTCTCCCCCCGTTGGAATCCCACTGGCTCTCGGATGCTCCCTCCTCAGTGAAGCCTTTCCTCCTGACCGCAGGCAGAAGTCATTTCTCCCTCCTCAGAGCTCACAACAGTTCACACCACTCTTACAAAAGTTATCACACACTAATTTGTATAATAATTATTCGTGGAAATACCTTGCACCTTTAAATTCCTTCTCATCTCTGAGATTCTATGATTCAAAGTATGAAAATAAATTGAGGAATGGTGGGGGGAAAATACCTTACTTTTATTTTCCCTTGTGAGACTGTCACATCAAGGATTCTCAGAAAAAACAGGAAAATCCATAAGAAAAAAATATAATTGCTTTTTTAAGCAAATGAGATATTCATATGAGGACCAGAACAGGCAGGAATATAGCAATGTTTATGTGTTACTTTAAAGAGTTGAAAAGACTCTCACATATATTCTCATTTGCTTCTCATAGCAAGCCACTGAGATAGAGCAGCTGTGATTATCTCCATTTTGGCTGAAAAACTCCAATTAAAAATATAATCAAGAAACATAATGATTTAAGTTCCATTATCTCATGTATATGGTACAGAAAAATAATTAGTAGTCAGAATGTCAGAAGATTCTGGTTTGAACTTGCAACACAATGATCTTGAGCCTCGGTTTTCTTGGCTGGAAGATGACACATGACTTCTAGGTCCAAGCTAAAACATTCTATGATGTTACAATGCCCTTAATTTGTAATTGAAAATGTCGTGACATATTCTTTTATTTCCCCCTGAAGGATATTTGCATATCTGCCATTAAGGAGAAGGATATTGAAGCCAAGCTGACTCAGGTGGTTGAGAATTGGACCAACCAGAACCTGATTTTTGCAGCATTTAAGGGAAAAGGAGAACTCCTGCTCAAAGGAACTGAATCGGCAGAAATTATCACCTTGATGGAGGATAGTTTAATGGTCTTAGGTTCCTTGCTAAGCAACAGGTAATTTTATAATTTGGGGGGAAAGTTTTAATTGGTATTGAGGGTTATATAATACTGGGTAAAAGCCCAGTTTTGCAGCTGTAGCATAACACAAGATTCTGACCTAAAGTGCTAACTCTTACCTGTCCTTACATATTTCCCTAATAATCATGGCCTCCATCTCGTCTTTTATGATAGTTGTCTCCCCTTCCTATTTTTCCTGGTGGGCCCCATCATAATTATTCTCCCTTGGATTGACAGCTTATCTCCTGAACATCTTGGCTCCCCGCTGAGATGACCTTTCCATTTTTTCTTCTTTCTCTTTCATTCCTCTGATTTGTCATCCTTGTCCTCCTTTAAACCTGCTCAAGTATTTACCCAGTGGCCCAGAAACAGTGTACTGGCAAGATATGAAGGGAATATACCATTAAGAGCTTAGCACTTACACACTAGCATTTTTTATGGTGAAAAGTGGTGAATCTGTGCTGGGTCTGCTGTGGCCTAAATGAGCCAACCTGTCCATAATTGGACTATTGAACCAGCTTGAAGGTGACTGTAATCTCAAGAGCAGCTTTAGGAAATGGGACTCAGTCAGATTGTGTACTATCTGGTCTTGGTCTGAACATTAGCAACCTTTAATCCCCTACCTGACTATGCAGTAATTTTCAACTGTTCTTCACCCTAACACCCTAAGAAATATATCACAACCCCATCATTAACAGAGGTCAATGTCTAGGGTCCATGGAGCTTCTAATACCCCTTCTCCAGGTTGGGATCCCTGGTTAATGAATGACATCCTGCATGACCTCTGGCCACAGAGGCAGTCTTGTATTTGGATAATGTGCTAATCCACAAAGTTCCTACTTCTGGGAGTTCTTGGTTGAACTTGCTGGAGTTAAGATCCTAGGGTGCATCCTCTGCTTTCAGGGAATCTGGATAATCCTGGCAAAGTTGACCATAGGATATTCAGTGGTTCCTAGACTTCACAGGCTACTGCTTTCTCATGGTTCATTGCAAATTTTGCCATCCTGATTTCTTGAATGATGACCTCTTGAAGAAGGGCTTAGATTCACCTGAACAGTGTCTGTGGCCTGGCCAAAAAATTCGGTATCTGAAGGCTTTCTTAATTTCATACTTAACTTACATATAACCTGATTAGTATAGTACCTATTTATACTGCTAGTAAACTCAATATTGAGGCCTTGCTAGAAAGAGTGTAAGGATATCTAAGAAGTCACAATACTTTGGGAGATTCCCCTCCTAGAGAACGTTGCAACACCAAGTGGATCCAGAAAGCCTCTTCCAGAACTAACCACAGACTGGTCTTTAGCAGTCAGTGCCTGCTGGATCTCTAGGGCCACGTGGACGTGACTTCAGAAGGAAATTGTACATCTCCACGGGTGAGACTTGACTCTAGATATTGCCTGTATTGTGACACTTTCCTGGTGGATCCCTGATTCCATGGGGCTCCATGGGCCTTCCTATTGGTCATGACAGGTTCCAACATGCAAAGTTGTGCAGTGCAGGTATCTGCCCAAAGGACAGGAACTAGTTATGCTAGATTTTATTTCAAATTTCCTTTTTTTTTTTTTTTTTATAATTTTATTTATGTATTTTTACCCCAAAGCCCCAATAGGTAGCTGTATGTCATAGCTGCACATCCTTCTAGTTGCTGTATGTGGGACGCGGCCTCAGCATGGCCAGAGAAGCGGTGCGTCGGTGCACGCCCGGGATCGAACCCGGGCCGCCAGCAGCGGAGCACGCGCACTCAACCACTAAGCCACAGGGCCGGCCTCAAATTTCCTTTTTCATGTTGGGAAGTTGTACACCATCAAAGATGACTGTTTTTTTCCCCTGTGCAGGACCATTTTTGGCCCCAAATATGTAGGTGCTTCAACTCTCTGAAATACCCATCCATACTGTCTTGGTCTGCAAGTCTTGATTTTGAAAATGTTTTTGGCATATTGACTGCCTTTCAGCTCTAGGCTAGTATAAATTGGGTGTTGAGAAAAAAAATGCCTCTTACTGCCTGAACAACTCACCTACCTCCTTGGAGCAATTTTTGTACAACTCCCTTTATACCTCCATGTATAATATAGGCTTCCAGAGAAATTATGGGTTGTACTCAGGCATCAGACTCTACCCAGAAGAACCCCAATCTATTTGTAAGCACCTTCAAGTCACCTTGTCCTGGATCAAGAAAAATTTTAAGACACTAGTCAAGAAGTGCTGCTCACCAGGAAATGCCTCTATATCACATCAAAACTACTTGCCATTGCCACAAACTGAAGTTAGCTTCTTAATCCAACTGTAGGGTATTGGGTCTTTACCCAGTATTTTCCCATCACTTCCTCCATGGCATCCACTCCATTTCTTGTCTTTCTTAGCTGTGCCCAGATTTCTGGACACCTTGTGTGCTCTTGAACCCTTCAGCTAGTCCTGATGGTGAGAAAACAGGAACCATGCTATTTTGGGGTAGCTGTCCTGGATCTCTAACACTGCGGAACCTAGGCACAGTGCCTGGTGGAATTAGCAGTTTGTGAGTGGGAAGAGCACATCTGTAAGTGGACGTCAGAGCTAAAACTTGACCCTGGCCTTGTGGTAATGGTTCCACAGACCAGTAACAAACGGTGTCCTGTGTGTTATTCTCATTGGCAATCTCCACTTGGATTTGGTTTGCAGAAGTCTTGGAAGACTATCTTGTTCCTTGTTTTCTCTTTACTCCCGGAAGCAACCAGCACAATTCCTTTGCTGGACCTCTGTGGCCTAAAACTTGGCCCATTTTCCTAGTCTATGACTGATACATGGAAACAATAAGTGAAATCACACTATAATTATATTAATTGAGTTTTATTCATAAAAAGCAAAAATCTCATTAGCTGTATGAAATTTATTAGGAACTGCCTTTTAGAAAAAAACATTCATTTCCAAGGAAATGTTGCTCCTGTAATTTACTTTTGTTAGCCCATACTATTTTCTAAATCTTCCTTAAAATATAATATTTTTTCATTCTTACTTTTTAGATATAATGCTCCATTTAAAAAAAATATCCAGAACTGGGTGTATAAACTGTCCACTTCCTCAGATATAATTGAAGAGTGGCTAATAGTTCAGAACCTTTGGGTTTATCTTGAAGCTGTCTTTGTAGGTGGAGATATTGCCAAACAGCTACCTCAGGTAAATATAGTTTTTAAACTACAGATAGAATAATGTGGTGTGTGTTGTCTACACGTGTCTGTAAAAGTGTTCACAAAGACATATGGTCATGTTTGATTACTTACACCGGGGGTTGGCAAACTATGGCCAACTTGCTTGTTTTTGTAAATAAAGTTTTATTGGAACACAACCACCTCCATTCATTTATGTTCTGTCTCTGGCTACTTTTGTGTTACAACAGCAAAGTTGAGTAGTTGTTAAGTAACAGACACTGTATGGCCTGCAAAGCTTAAAGTGTTTACTATCTGGCCCTTTCCAAAAAAAGTTTAAAAAAAAAAGTGACCTTTGATTTACATGAACAGAAAGAAGAAACTCACATATTTTCAAATCTCCAGGTTCTCCGAAGATGTGATGTACATTCAAATATGATACTATTAAATTATAGTAGTTCATCTCTTCCAAGAATTAGCCTTATAACATTTCTCTGAGAGTAGAATTAAAGTTAATCTGTATTCTGTAAGTGCGGGTTAACTATTAGTAAGTCGACTAATAGTAGATCAAAAACATACTGTGGGGCAGAGAAACTTAGGCTTAGAAGCCTGTAACAAAATCTTTAAAACAGCTTTATTAGGGCCTTTTAAATAAATGCCAGTAACTTACTAATAGCTTTATTACTATGAAGGTAACTTTCCTCTTGTAAAAATTAAACCTGATCTTCTTGAATTTCCATATCTACAGGATCTCTATCCATGAAAAATCAAGGATAAAAGGGTTTTGAAAATGACCGATTTCCCTTTGTAACACGTTTTTAAAAAAATAAATGTTTTCTTTTTAATCAGAAAGTTGCATTTTTTTTAAAAAAAGTACTTAAAAGTTTTAAAAGAGGCAATATTATGCCAATTTCTAGAGGTATTTTTGCAGTTGAATACAAAGCTTAATATCATACATAGTAAATAGAAAATTTTCATTTGCAAAAATGTAAATGACGCTTTGTTTTGGGTTTTTATTGTTTTTTCTTTTTCTTTTTCCTGGGGTACTATTGAGCTGTAATTATTCCAAGGATCCTGAGATCAAATTATTTTCATGCTTCTTCAGTTTGCTCGTCAAACCAAAACACCTGGGGTGCTGAAAGCCTAGATTTCAGCTTTAATTTGATAGCTCTGCAAATTAATCATGTGACACTTTGAAAAATGTATTAAATGTAAGAAAACAAATAAGCGATAAACCCCGTTGTGATAAAGCAGCATTTCAATAAGCAGTTTTATGACTTTGGATTTTTGTTGTTCAGAGTTAATTCAGATGGAAAAAAATTGCTCCTTTAGATTATATAGCGTGAGACTAATGGAGGCTCGTTTGAAGAACTATAGGAAATTCCGAAGTGAAGACTTTGCTTTATTCAACTATCCAAATGCTAATTTTTACTAACTATGGATTTTTTTTTTTAGGAAGCAAAACGTTTTCAGAATATTGACAAGTCGTGGATAAAGATAATGCAGCGAGCTCACGAGAATCCCAATGTGATTAGTTGCTGTGTTGGAGATGAAACTATGGGGCAACTTTTACCTCATTTACACGAACAGTTGGAATTATGTCAGAAGTCACTTACAGGGTAAGAGGTTCATTTTTAAATTATCTATCATTTTATATGTGACAGTGTTTTATCCCAAACAAGTTAATAGTATTGACTGCATTTCTGGTTTGGTAGTGATGGTTGAAGTGGCAATAGGAATTTAACATTTCACATAAATTTAATTTTTCTGCAAAAAAAAGAAACCTTCAACTTAGGAGTGGGTGAGCTAAGGCATTGTATTAGTTTTGTAGGGCTGCTGTAAGAAATTACCATAAACTGGGTGGCTTAAAACAACAGAAATTTATTTTCTCACAGTTCTGGGGGCGGGAAGTCTGAAATCAAAGTGCCAGCACATTCTGAAGGCTCTAACGGAGAATCTTTCCTTGCCTCTTCCAGCTTCTGGTGGCTTTGGAGTTCCTTCGCTTGTGGCCACATAACTCCAATATGTGTCTCTGTCTTCCCTTCTCCTCTTCTTCTTCTTCCTGTGCATCTTTTATGAGGACACTTGTCATTGGATTTAAGGCTCACCTGGATAACCCAGGATTATCTCTTCTTGAGGTCCCTAACTTCAATACATCTGCAAAGATATTTTTTCCAAATAAGGCCACATTCACAGATTTCAGGGAATAGGACATGGACATATCTTTTGGGAGGCTACCATTCAACCCACTACAGGCATGGAGTAGAGATCTGCACTAAGAGAACAATTAACCAGACAAATTCCTGGATAATTTTCTTAAAAGGCAGTTTATTCTCAATTTCTATTTGAAATAGGATAATGATATGTCCTGGTTTGTCCAAGTTTATGCCTGTGTCTTGGCTTAATGGTTAGTTGTACCCCCTTTCACTCTCAAAATGTCCGGGTTTGGAGATAAGTTATGTGTTCTCCCTGGGTTTAAGCCGTGAGATTCACAATACTCTTAGAAAAGTCGCAGGAGGGCTCTTGATGAGAAAGATGACAGATGATGGGCAGGCTTGCCCTGAATCCCTTTCTTCTTTCCACTTGTTTTCCCAAGCATGGTCAGTGGTGGAACATGGACTTTGGTTCTAACCAAACATTTCGGAGGAAAATGGGAAATGACTATAAGTGTTTGCTATTGTCTTATTGAAAATGTTAGTGATTGTATCTTTGCTAAAAAAACCCAAAAATTAATAATTCAGAAAAAATCATTTGGTAACATGACTTTATTTAAAGGTATTTGGAGAAGAAGCGATTACTATTTCCAAGATTCTTCTTTGTATCTGATCCAGTTCTCCTGGAAATTCTTGGGCAAGCCAGTGATTCCCACACCATACAGGTATAATCTAAAATCTATTACCTAAATCGTTTTTTTCCATGGCATACATAATCAATAATAAAAATGCAGTTAACATCATAAAAGTGCAGGCAGGAAAGAAGAGTATCAAAAATTATGTTGATTATAAAATATCCTATTTACTGTGTATTCAGAGCCCATCAACCTGAGGCAACCAGTCACTCACCAGCTGGGTGACTTTGGCCAGCTTCTTAATTTTTCTGTGCCTCAGTTTTCTCATCTCTAAAACTAGGATATTAATGGTTCCCATGTTATAGAATTGTCATATGGATTACATGACATAATGCATTTAAAAGCATCTGGGACACAATATGTGCTCACTAAATATAATTCATTATTATGAGTATTTTAATCTAAATATTCTAGGTCAAATAGGGATTGTGGTTTGGATTTGTCCTTTTTTCTCATCCAGAATGTTTCTCAAATGCTTTTAGCCATTTCCGAGGGCAATACTTCCAGAAGAAAGAGAAAAACTATAGAGAACTGGGCGGAGGAGGCAATGAAACACATCGCAGGGCTGTTTATGTTTGGGAATCTGGGAAACAGCTAATAATATCTTCCTAGTTCATTTTCAGGAAGTTGTAGGGTTGAGGAAAGAGAGGAGGGAAGTAAAAGCTGCATCAGGCAGGGATAGAGCCAAGAGGGAGGGCAGGACTGAGCTGTCTCTGGGAGGGAAGAGGACAGGGACCGTATGGTTCAGTCTCCATCTGGACGAAGGCGATAGTCATTACTCCAATCTCCATAGCATAAGAGGGGCATTTGCAAGATTTAGAGGAAACATTCTCTAGGGCTGGATTTTAAAAAGTGGGCCTCCGAGTCAGTCAAGGGTTAAAGCAAGGGTTAAAGCTTTTTTTTTGAAACAATGAAGTAAACTCTTAAGTGTCTACAAATATAAAAAATATTAAGGCGTTTTAAAACTTCTCAATGGCTTTTGTGTTTAGCCTCGTGTATGATGTTTATGCTCTGTCTTGTGCTTCTTATAGCCACATCTCCCTGCAGTATCTGACAACATAAATGAGGTGACATTTCACGCAAAGGACTATGATCGCATCCTGGCCGTCATATCAAGAGAAGGAGAAAAAATCATTGTAATTTAACTTGTTCAAAATTTTGTTATTAGGATTTCTTTAAACATTTAGGTTGAGGAGAATGCAATTCTCTTATGGAAAAAAGGGAGAGGAGGTGGACTTGGATTCTAGTTCTGTAGCCCTGGCTTTGTTACACACCAGTTTGAATAACTCATTTAACTTCTCTGAGATTCATCTTATCATCTACAAAATGAAAGTTTTAGACCAGATGATCTTCATAGTTCCTTCCACTTGTGGTATTAGTTGATATTACTCATGTTTTAAATGTTTTGTGTAGTATTATTTGCTTTGCATTGAGGTGCTATGGTTTATCCAGTTAAGTGTGTGACATTTGTAAAAATACCAAATCGTTGTCAATTTGTAATATATTTGTAATATATTTTTTAGTTGGATACTCCTGTGATGGCCAAAGGTCCTGTGGAGATTTGGCTTATGGAATTGTTAAAAATGCAGATGTCATCATTACATAATATAATTCGATCCGCATACTATCAAATCAGTGATTCAGGATTTCAGCTCTTACCTTTCCTCAATCACTTTCCAGCGCAGGTGAGAATGCACAGTGTTTAAATAATGGAAATAAGGGGGAAGGATACTCAGGAGAAAGTTGGCCTGATGGTGTGGAGGCTGTTGTAGCTTTGAACCAGTTAGGTTCCCAACCACCTGCTTGTCCATCTACACCATTCTAGGCCAACCCACCCCATCCCTCAGAAGAGGACTTGCCACTATTCTAAATACACTTAGGCTAAAACCACTCATGGAAAATTTCGTCTTATATATAAAAGACACTTATCTATATAGAAGGCGTCTATCTCTATATAGCCATACATAGGTAGATATAAATGCAGATAGAGATATGGATATGGGCATATATAAGAAGAATGAACATATTTTTTCTTGAAAGAAATGCATCTTACCTTTTATCTTCCCTTCAAGTGATTAAAAATTGGCATAATCTGTTAAAGGAGGCCTTCTCATGCAACCGACTTTTTAAAGAGAGAAGACCTTGAGGAGGCTGGGGTTGGAGCAGGTGTTCTCTTGAAGAGCCCTCATGTCCCATGGCTTTTAGAAGTGCATTCTGATGTGCTAAGTATTATCAAAACTGGATATAAAAAGTGAAGAGCCAAGAGTTTTATTAAATTTTCAGCCAAGATAAATGAAAAGTGATGATTTGTGATCCAGGTCAGAGATAGAGTGGGATAGAAGGCAGGAGACATCCAAGGAAAATATAGGCAATTTTTGCCCAAACTGTATTTCTTCTCCAACTGCTCCTCCCAACTGACATTCCAAATCCTGAATTACTGCGCACACAGTGGAGACAGCTGAAATGACAGGAAATTATTATTATTATTATTTTTTGGTGAGGAAGATCAGCCCTGAGCTAACATCCGATGCCAATCCTCCTCTTTTTGCTGAGGAAGATTGGCCCTGGGCTAACATCCGTGCCCATCTTCCTCTACTTTATATGTGGGACGCCTGTCACAGCATGGCTTGACAAGCGGTGTGTCAGTGCGTGCCCAGGATCCGAACCTGCGAACCCTGGGCCACCAAAGCAGAGCACGCACACTTAACCACTGTGCAACTGGGCTGGCCCCAGGAAATTATTTATTCAAACAACTTAACTACAGATATAGAATCAACCTTTGTTGGAGATAATATTTTAATATCGTTATTTTTTATATTGTATAATACAATATTTTATATTGTATAATATCTTTGGCAAACTTTAATGTTTTTATTAGCATTATTACCTTTATGGTAAAGCTTTATAAAATACTTAATTTGATAAGCTGAGAAAATAGCTCCTTATACTAACTCAACATACTCTCCCTCCCCCAGGAAAGCTTGTTCACCCTGTATGTTCTGAAGGAGAGGCTCAGTCTAGTTTAGACAGAGAACTTAGCATTATAGGTGGAAAAGTTGAAGAGCAAGTTCAAAGCTGTGGTGAGGTTGAACAGGGTAGAGCAGGAAAGTTGACTAGCTTTCAGGATTTTCTTTAGTGTGTATACATACACACATATATATACACAAATAACGAAGTGAAATTTTAAACAATTTTAGATAAAAATCTTAACATAGTAATGGGCAAATTTAAGTTATTTGGAAAAATTGCTTTAAAGAGTAATGTATTTATTGAATGAGTAGACATTGAATGAATATATATATAGAATATATACATTGAATGAATATATATATGTGCGTTACTCTTTAAAGCAATTTTTTCAAGTAACTGAAATTTGCCCACCACAATGGTAATTTAAGTTATCTAAAATTATTTAAAATTTCACCTCTGCCTTCTTCTAAAACATGTTTTTAAGGTTATAAATGAAATGGATCCTTATTTCAAAAATTTGGAAAAATTCAAAAACCATAAAAGTGAAAATAATATTTTTTTATAAATTACTTTTTAAATAAATTTTTTATAAGTTACTTTTATAGTAATATTGGTGAAATATTTCACTTTCCCTTTCCCATATTTCTACCACCTGAAAATGATGGCTGTTAATATTTTAGTGTATTCCTTTCCAGTATTTTTTAATGTGCTTATTACAGGCATCAAATAATATCGATGAGGATGAGCATGCTTATTTTGTTTTCTTTTTTCTTTTTTTATTTTAATGAGATGTCCTGCAGTTTTCATCAAGTCCCCTGCCTTCTTTAACGGAGTAAAAAACATAAGTTAAACTTTTCTTGGTGACTCAAGATAGTCATTTTAAAGATGAGTTTTTAGAATATACCACTATGCGGTGATTTTTCAGGGTCTGTGGGTCTGTCTTTAAATCAGACAGCCTTCCACTGCTGTTTCTGTATTTTTTCTCTTCGCTTTTCCTATCTTGTGCCACCTTCTGCTTCCGTCAGGGTCAGAATTGGCTTACTTATTGGGAGCTTTCTGACTGACATGGGCTATTTCCTCTACATCCTGTTGCGCACCTCAGCCAGGTGCTTTCATTCGTCTTCACCTGCAGAGCCCAGGGTTGGCCACTGCTCTAGCAGGACGAACGTGGAAGCTCCTGAGGAGGCAGGGATAAGGGGAGGGGAGGGGCGGCTTTACCAGCATCCAGTGCCACGCCCCGCAGTATCCACATGCCATACACACTGCTTTCAGTCCTCTGCCCCATGTGGGGCTCCTTTTTGGTCCAGACGATCTTGGATCTGTTGCTTGACTCTGGGGATGAACCAAACCTCCCAAAGTGACAACTGTTGCAGCGAGGAGGTGGAGGGGGCAAGTTCTAACTACTTTTACTCCCTTTTCTGGGGCAGAAATTGTAGGTAAGGTGACATTCACTCACTATTTCCTTATGCCTTCATCAGGAGACAAGGACAAGCTTCTCCCCTTCTCATTTTCTCTCTCTCTCTACTTTAGATAAACATATAGGCAGAGAAGTAGATGTGGATAATGATATGGATATTAGAGAGATTGTGCGATCAAGAAAGGAGACAGGCAGCACACTTTTTTTTAGAAGATGCAAAGAGACCTTTGGAAAACTTGCTAAAGAAAAATATACAACAAAGAGTCTATTAATTCCATATGCTTTTCTTGAGAAAGAAAAATCTTTCTCTCATGGAGGTACCTGGTGGTCTCAGGCACTCCATAGAAAAATTTCCTAAGCATCTTCCACAAAATACATATAGCTCCATAAATGGTGGCCATTGTTTTATTATTTATCTATCTACATTGAAATCGTTAAATATCAACAGTTAGGACTTTAAATGGGTCCCCCCCCTTTTGGGAGTGGAGAAATCATGTCTCTTTTTTAGTTTAAAATGAGTAAAACCCTGTTCTCCTTCATGTGAATAAGTGACTCCCAAATGTTATTGCAGATGTGCTCTATATATTTGGCAAATTTATTTGTCTGCTGGATTTGTAGGTTGGGCTTCTGGGAATTCAGATGTTGTGGACACATGATTCGGAAGAGGCTTTAAATAATGCAAAAGATGACAGGAAAATCATGCAAGTGACAAATCAGAAATTTTTGGATATTCTGAATACTCTAATTAGTCAGACAACACATGACCTAAGCAAGTTTGAAAGAGTGAAGTTTGAAACTCTAATTACCATCCATGTGCATCAGAGAGATATTTTTGATGACTTGGTAAGGTATTTTTTTCTTAATTTAAGGTAATTTAATGTACTAATTAATACTTTAGTGCTCCTAATAATGAATAATTAAGTCTTATACATATTTCCTAACTTATATGAACCTTCTGTCTACTTGGTGCTTTTTCACCACTGTCTCCATATAGACCATGTCTACAAATATCTATATTTGGTGGTATAAACAACCATATATGACATTCACATTTGGCATTCTGAAAGTCTGGAACCAACTGATGTGATGTGAACTGACTAATTGTTACATTAAACTAAATAACCAGGGACATGATATAACAGGTGGGGTTGGTCATGAGTTATGATGGACCGATTAGGAAAGAAGTCCAGATCGAATAGAATCAAGCTTCAGATAACTCTCATGGCTATTAGTCCAATTGATAGTGTCCAACAGGGCATCATGGGCTTGATTTGGGCAAGGTTCTGTAGGATGTAAGAGGGGTGGTATTTGAATTCCCTTTGGAAATAAGACTCTAACTAGTGGCCTTGAGCAAGACCAAGTTCTCCTAAATCAGTGGTTATCCATTGTAGGGTAGGGGCCCCAGGAGGTTTTGAAATACCACCATTTGACTCTCTTTGTCTTTAACTACCATTGCTTTATTTTATTTTATTTGATTCATTTTAAAGATATATCTTTCCTTTATCAGAGACACACAATTCCTGCAACTTGGGGCCCTTTTTTAGAGAATATGGTCACAAGCTACCTGTTTCAAACTTGTATCAAAAGTTCTGATCACATAAGTTATATTTATTGAAGACTGAAGGACATGCAGTCCATTTATTCCCCTGGAATCGAGATCCCTGCTTCTCAAAGTATTGTATGCCAGCCAGTTGCATTGGCATCTCCTGGGAGCTTGTTAGAAAATCAAAATCTCCAGCCGCCTCCCCCTGCTCACCTCCCTCACACCTACTGAATCAGAATCTGCATTTCAACAAGATTCCCAAGTGAAGAAACACTGCCCTAGGATTTCTCTCTGGATCTCTGGATCAGGCTAATCATCAGGAAGCTACATACTTAGACCATATTTCTTTGGCCTTCTACAGATTTGCTTTCACTGCATTGCAACTACTGTTATACTTTGGCGTTCATTGAAGTCCACCTCAAGCAACTCCTGTGAAATCCATTACTGTATCTGCTAAGAGCGTACTATTTAAGATGTTGTCTATACATCTCTCATTGACTCTTTTTTTTTTTTTAAAGATTTTATTTATTTATTTTCCCCCCAAAGCCCCAGTAGATAGTTGTATGTCATAGCTGCACATCCTTCTAGTTGCTGTATGTGGGACGCGGCCTCAGCATGGCTGGAGAAGCGGTGCATCGGTGACCGCCCGGGATCCGAACCCGGGCCGCCAGCAGCGGAGCGTGCGCACTTAACCGCTAAGCCACGGGGCCGGCAGTCTCATTGACTCTTAAATCTGAAGTCCCATGGAAGAAATTTCTTTTAAATTTAAGTGCTGAGCAAAGCTTTACTTTATATACAGATTGGATTAAAAAAAAAAACCTATACACAATTAAAACCATGAAACTGTTTTGTTTTTGTCCTAATTGCTATTGAACTCATGGTCAGTTTGCATCTCAACTAAAATGAGATCACATGGCCAGCATATTTGCATTTTATTTTTCCATGTATAATACTTAGAACAGCCTGATATACAGCAAGAACTCGAGAAATATTAGCTATTCTTTCTTCTTCCTTTTCCATGTCCTCCTCACCGTCTTAACGGATTGTTGAAAGTAGCTAGCTCACTGCATCTCCATGGCTGTGGGTCCTGCATTAGCAGAGTTCCTGGGGGTGGCATTGGATTATGTTACCTGAAAGTAGTTCTTTTAGGGTGATGAATACAAACCGTGCTTTAGGAGGGAAGCCAGAATTCTTAACTGGAGGGGGAAGCAAGATCATAGACAATGAAACAACAACAAAAAGCAAGACTGTAAATAGCATGGAGACTTGATTAGATGGAGATCTGAACATTGTACAGTCGCCAGAGCTCCACTGTTTAGTGTTAGCTGAATGACCTGGAAGTGGGCCACTGGGTTTAAGAGCAGTGAAGGGGACCATTTGCCACTTTCCTATGTTGACTCCTCTGAGTGGGCAAGACTGGGGTTTCTCCAAGTTTGCCAATGGAAAGTCATGAAGCACCCCAGAATGTGGTTGTGGTGGAATCTTGCTCCTAAATGTGCTTGCCTGGTTTCTATCTCTTGTATCCATTGTGGTGGGAGCCCAGTACCTCTTCCCCCATAGGTATATGCTGATGACCGGGTAGGTTGATTGGTTTGGCCATAGTGCTGTTGTAGGCAGGCATATGTGCGTACAGGACCATGTATCTCCCTGCTCGATCCCTTCAGTGGCTTCCCACTGCCATGACAACAATGCCCAATCCCTTTCCCACGCCCAGGGAAGCCTCAACTCTCACTCTTTCTCCAGAGTCCTGATGCCTCAGCTGTGCTGAAATGCTTTTGGTTTCTTGAACACGCCAACCAGATCTTCTGGGTCTTTGCCTGGAACACTTTGCCGTGCCACACCTCCATCACCCCTTTTGTTTCATTTCCCTGGCTAATTCCTATTATTTATCCTGATTTTAGTTTAGGTGTTTCTTTCTCTGAGTCCCCCTCTCAGACCCCCTAGACTAGGTTAGGTCCTCTTGCTATGTATTTTCATGAACTCTGAATTTCTTTTCATACTTAATCGCGATTACTTGTTTATCTGTTTGTCTTTTGTCCTTTTCTGTCAGCTCTAGAAGGCGAGAACCATGTCTGTCTTTGTTCACCCAGCAGTATCAGGTTCAAGAAGGGGCTCAATAAATACATGTTAAATGAATGAGGATCAGTTCATGGATGAGTGAATAAAAACTGCCCATATGCTTGTCTTTTATGCCATTGCAATTCAGTATGTAATCTCTTTGTATTTCATGTTTTTAGGTAAAAATGCATATCAGATCTGTTACTGATTTTGAATGGCTAAAACAGAGTAGATTTTATTTTAAGGAAGATTTGGATCAAACCGTGGTGTCTATTACAGATGTTGATTTTATTTACCAAAATGAATTTCTGGGATGCACTGATCGTCTTGTTATCACTCCATTAACAGATAGGTAGAAAATTCAGTTTTTGTTATTAGATTTTGTAATTAAATAACATGCTTAAAATTGCTTTAAAATTGCATTTGAAATAAAAAAGCATATTGCTGTCGTGTTAGGTCTATGCTAGCTCATCAAAGTCAGTCTAACAATGAAATAACCGTAGTTGTTACTTAAATGTATATGTACATTAAATTTTTATGAAGTAGAAAAAGATAAAAGAATAAAAGCAAGCTAGAGTGTTGACTATGAATAATTTCATAATGAATTTTAGGTTGCAAGATGGAAAAATATCTCTAGAACCATAAAGGAAGTCATTAGAATTGCAAAGAAGGAAGGGGCCTTGGAGATTGTCTGGTTTAGTCTCCTAGTTTTTCAAATGTGGAAATTGATACCTGAAGTGAAGTTTCTTGGCCCGGTCTGAAGAGTCAGCCAATGACAGATCCTCTCACAGTTCTTTCCAGTATATGACACTAGACAAGAACTGGGTCTTTTTCATCTTTATGTATCCCACAACACCCAGTTTCATATGCTGTGCATACAATTCACTTGTTTGTAGAATTGCCTTAAATTGGGTCATAGAACAATTAATTCTGCCATTACTTTTTTTTTTTTTTGTGAGAGAGATCAGCCCTGAGCTAACATCCATGCTAATCCTCCTCTTTTTGCTGAGGAAGACCGGCTCTGAGCTAACATCTGTTGCCAATCCTCTTTCTTTTTTTCCTTCCCCAAAGCCCCAGTAGATAGTTGTATGTCATAGCTGCACATCCTTCTAGTTGCTGTATGTGGGACGCAGCCTCAGCATGACCGGAGAAGCGGTGTGTAGTGCGCGCCCGGGATCCGAACCCTGGGCCGCCAGTAGCAGAGCGCGCGCACTTAACCGCTAAGCCACTGGGCCGGCCCTGCGGTTACTTTAAATAGGGCTGCCTCCACGTAAAATTGCAACACAGTCACATTACATCTTCAGCCTCCTCTTGATTCATCCAACCTCCGTTTGTATGCCCAGTGTCGCTGCAGCATAAATTTGTCAATGTGTTTTCTCTTTCGTTGATGTTTACATATAAAGCTTCATGTCTCATGAAGCTGTGCTAAGTTTTACTTAGATCTGAAACAAATATAACTGAAGCTGGGTCATGGATACGAGGAGATTCGTTATATTATTCTTTACACTAATCTAAATGAGTGAAACATTTCTTGGTAAAATGATTTATTCGCAATAGTGTGCTGGAGTTGGCTCGTACCAGCGTGCGAGAGCCAACTACACACATCTCTTCCCGTTGGTAGCTTGTCATTGGCCTTGGTGGAAGTATTTATACCACTGAAATCAGCAAACATGAAAATCAGATTTACTTTTTTCCCTGGAGAGCTGGTTGTTAAACATCTGCCAGCATACCACTGCTTATTTGGTTCTCTGACTTAGGATTTATTGTGACCATAACGGAAGGAAGGCCTGAAGGTTTTAAGTCAGTGTTGAGGAGTTGAGAAGTTTGTCCCAAGAAATTTTTGCAATCAGTCACTGTACTACTTCTAACGGATACCAAGTACTCCAGCCTCGTTTGGTTGCCTGTCTCTTTTATGTGGGCTGTTCAAATTCCAAAATAAACAGGCCCATTCCAATGACACTGGACTTTTGCTTGTGCTTTCTTCTAACAGGTGTTTCCCCATGTTCACAATGCTTTATCTGATTCCCATTTGCAGGTGCTATATCACTTTAGCACAGGCTTTGGGAATGAACATGGGAGGTGCTCCAGCAGGACCCGCGGGCACTGGCAAAACAGAAACCACAAAAGACATGGGAAGATGTTTAGGAAAATATGTGGTCGTGTTTAACTGCTCAGATCAAATGGATTTCCGAGGGCTAGGGAGGATTTTTAAAGGCAAGTGTGAAACACTGTTAAATTATTTTTGATGAATTTATTTTTATTGCACTTTAATGTTACTTTCCGATATATATGTTTCTAATGTTTAATTATTCCACATAACCATAATTAGTATAAGTTGATGTATATGGTATTGCCATTTTTCTGGGTCAAAAATGGCTGGATATCATCAGTTTCATACGGTTCAATACTATTGCTGGCGTTACAATCCATGAGTTGAATATGTATTGGATTATGAAAATAGAGTCAATATGTTATTGCCTGAAACAGTGTTGGAGGAGCTAAGAGCAAGACAGCAAACCGATGACACATGTGACTTCCCTTCTTGCATTAAATCCTACTGAAATGAAAGACTTTTAAAGAGCATAACAGGGCCGGCCCCGTGGCTTAGCGGTTAAGTGCGTGCGCTCCGCTGCTGGCGGCCCGGGTTCGGATCCCGGGCGCGCACCAACACACTGCTTCTCTGGCCATGCTGAGGCCGCGTCCCACATACAGCAACTAAAAGTATGTGCAGCTATGACATACAACTATGTACTGGGGCTTTGGGGGAAAAATAAATAAATAAAATCTTAAAGAGCATAACAACACTGGAAAACAAGAAAGGGGGGCCATCAGCAGATGGGAAGTTTTGAGAAAATCCTGAAAGATAGGTTTCAGATGAACAGAAGAAAAAAGAATAGAGAGCACTTCAGTCTTAGAACTCAGTCCTTGGTGGTCTTCTCTTTTCTGTCTACATGCATTCTCTTGGTGATCTCGTGCAGACCAAACTTTAAATACTCTCTATATGATTAAAATTGTATCTCTACTTGGACATCTTGAAACTCCGGATTCATGTATACAACTGATATCTACTACTTGACATCTCCACTTAAATATCTAATAGGTCCAAATTCATTATATCCAAAACGAAACTCATGATCTCGCCTCCCCATATCTACTCCTTCCTTAGCCTTCTCCATCGCACTAAGTAGCCATTCCATTCTTCCAGATGCTCAGACAAAAATTTTTGACTTATCCTTTACTCCTCTCTTTCTGTCATACTCACATCCAAACGGTCAGCAAACACTATTAACTCTACCTTCAAAATACGTCCCAAATCTGGTCACCTCTTAGCCCCACTGCTGTCATCCTGGTTCAAGCCAATTATCATCTCTCAACTGTACTATTCCAATAACACTCTTAATTAGTCTTTCTCTGTTTACCCTTGTCCCCTCCCTGCTAGTCTCAAAACAACAGCACTGTGATACTTCTACACGTAAGTCAGATCATGACACCCTTCTGCTGAAAGCTGTCTGGTGGCTTTACTCAGAGTAAAAACTGAAATCCTTACAATGGTCCTATGTTGTCTTGTACAATCACACTCACTCCTTCCCCCATGCCCAGTGTTTTGCTCTGATCTTTTGACCTCATCTCCTAATACAGTTCCCCTCACTCTCCCTGCTACAACCATACTGACCTTTCTGCTGTTTCTCAAACATTCGAAGCACCTCCCTCCTCAGACCCCCTACACTTGCTGTTCTTTAGATTCTTCCCCAGATATCCGTCCACATGGCTCGCTTGACAAAGGACATCCACAGCAAACATCCTACTGTTGAAAACTCGAAAGCATTCTTTTTGAGATAAGGCATAAGACAAGGATTCTCATTCAATTACTCCTATTCAGCATTGTACTCTAGATCCTACCCCGTGCAGTAAGGAACAACAAGAACAGCAACAACAAAAATACAAAGGTTAGAAAGAAATAAGTATAAACTTTCATTATTTACAAATGATATGGTAGACTGTGAAGAAAATTCAACAAATCTATGGAAAAAGAGAATTTAGCAAGTTTACTAGAATATGAAATCAACATGCAAAATAAATTTTATTTTGATAAGCCACAAGAAACAGAAAATGAAAATTTCAGAAAGATATCATTTAGAACTTAATTTTGAGAGTGTGGTATTTGGTGCAGAGATTGATACATAGACCAGTGGAAAATAACAGAGAATGCAAAAATAGGCCGGGGACACTTGGCATATGGCAAAGGTGGTATTGGAAATCAGTGATGAAGAGAGAAACTTTACGATAAATTGTTTGGGGACAATAGATGAATTGGATCCCTACATGTATAAAAATTGGATGCCTACGTTATATATAAAAATCAGTTCTGGGGATTAAATGCCTAAATATGGTAGGCAAAACTATATGGTTTTTAGAAGGTGATAAAAGAAAATATCTTTGTTTTCAGAGTAGAAAGGGATTTTTAATACAAAATCACAAACCATAAAGAAAAGATTGATACGTTGCCTACCCTGAGTTAAAAACTTCTGTTCATCAATGGATACTACAAAGAAAGAGAAAAGCCATGCCAGAAGTTTGGGACAGGCATTAGCAACGTATATTACCTACAAAGGATTAGCATCCAAAATATATGAATAATGCCTATGAATCAATGAGAAAAAGAACCCGATAGGAAAACGAGGAAAAATCTTGAACAGGCATTTCATGAATGAAGAAACCCAAACGAGCAGCAATCAAAGAATTGCCATTATAAAGAGATTCCATTTTGTACACACCAGGTTAACAAAAGTTTGTGTGACTTTTTTTTTTTTTTTTGTGAGGAAGATCAGCCCGGAGCTAACATCCGTGCCAGTCCTCCTCTTTTTGCTGAGGAAGACTGGCCCTGGGCTGACATCTGTGCCTATCTTCCTCCACTTTAGATGGGACACGGCCTCAGCATGGCCTGACAAGCGGTGCATCGGTGTGTGACTGGGATCCGAACCCGGGCCGCCAACAGTGGAGGGGATGCACTTAACCCCTACACCACGGGGCCGGCCCCCATAAGTTTGTGTGACATTTTTGACCATTGGCAAGATGTAGAGCAACAGAAATAATCATCCACTGCTGGCCGGAGTGTGAAACTTGTTGGGAAAAGAAAGCATACATGTATTCTCAGCCCTCCCGCCTCCTGGTATATATTCACATAAACTGCGCTTATGCAGTGGGGGCCTGTGTGTAAATGTTCATGGCAGCATTGCCTGTAACAGCAAACAACTGGAAACAACTTGAGTGTCTTCTGTGATGGACAGGATACGTAAATACATAAATTGTGAACGTATAATTTGTATATTTTAAATAAAGAAAAGCAAAAATGTAATATATATGAAATTCTGTATAACTGCTGTATAGCAGTAAAAATGATTACAAGATACATGACATAAAGCAGACTCACAAATATAATTTACAGTGAGAGAAGCAAGTCTCACAAAAATACATTAAGTTTATTTAAAATTCAAAAATAGGTAAAACACAAAATATATAGTATTTAGATACGTATACATAGTGAAAAATAAAAGAAAAGCACAAAGTTCAGACTAGCAGTCCCTCCCTCTGGAGGGAAGAAAGGGGCTGTAGTTGGGGAGAAGCAGACTGGGGCTTCCTTGTATTAAATATCATGAGTGCACTCATCCAGCCCTTCCTTTCAATGGGATGTGAGACTATCCCTACAATAGATTACACATCCAGCTCCTACCTTTACCTAGCTGTTGGAATTATATATATATTATATATATAATATATACATATATCTCATAGTATATATTTACATATATAATTACACAGTCTTTTTGTGATATTTCTCCATTTAAGAAGGAGAAAAAAACATAAGCTACAGACTGGGAGAAGATATTTTAACATGTATAGCTGACAAAAGATTTATATCTGGCATTGAAAAAGGTTTTCTTCAAATCATTCAGAAACACAAAAATAATAATGAGATACCATTCTCACTCCTGCCAGTTGGCAAAAATGGAAAAGTCTGACAAAACCACTGCTGGTAAGGATGTGTAGAAATTGTAACTCTTAGTATGCCTTATGTGTGTGTAAATTGGTAGAGCTGCTTCAGAGAACAGCTTGGCAACAGCTGGTAAATGTGAAGATGCTCATACTCTCTGACCCAGCATTTCCACTCCTCACACGTGTTGCAAGAAGCTATGAGCAAGACCGATACATTGTTATAACAAATTATTAAGAACAACTCAAATGTCCGTTGAGAGTAGAACGAATTTTTAAACTGGTATATTTATGCAATGGAATACTGTACCATAGAGCATTTTTAAAATAGTGAATTAGATCTATGTTATCAGCATGGATAAAACTCAAAAAAATAATATTGAGCAGGGCCGGCCCTGTGGCTTGGTGGTTAAGTGCGCGCGCTGCGATGCTGGTGGCCCGGGTTCGGATCCCGGGTGCGCATCGAGGCACCGCTTCTCCATTCATCCTGAGGCCGAGTCCCACATACAGCAACTAGAAGGATGTGCAGCTACGACACACAACTATCCACTGGGGCTTTGGGGGGAAAAAATAAAATAAACAAAATCTTTAAAAAAAAAAATATTGAGCTAATAAATCAAATTTCAGGATGGTATGTACACTATTGTATAGCTAGATGTATAAATAGATACACATATACAAATTTTGAACAAGCAAAGTATACAGTGTTTGTAAATACATGCATAAGAGCAGTAGTTTAAAAGCATGCATAGGAAACATTGACATCAAATTCAGGGTGGAGGTTACCTCTGGAGAAGGAGGGAGTGTAGATCCAAAAGAGACATACTTGGACTTGAGCTGTAGTTCTAATATTTTATTCTTTAGGATGAAATATGAAGCAAATTGTTAAGATTTGATAGGTGGGTACATGGGTATTCCTTATATTATTTTTTATAAATGCCTGTCGGTTAAAACATTTTTGAACCCCAAGAATCATTTTCTAATCAAAGAGAAGAGTTCTTCTGTAGATCACTGCTGGCTTGAGGACTGGGGATGGTTGAGAGAAGCAGACTAGAGTACAAGGTAATCCCCAGAATGCCAAACTTATAGCAGAAGGCAGAGAAAAAGAACATGAATTGGCTGTCTCCAGTGTTTTTCCTCCGTGTGAAAGCTGTAACACAGCTCTCTGAAGTGGGAGTCCTGGCAAAAATCAACCCCTGGCGAGGACTTGGCCAGAGAGGCAAGCAACACACCAGGTCAGACACCAGGTCAGACTGCAAGCCCCAGACAGGGAAGCTCTCCTGCCTCTCCCACCCCTTCCCCCAAGTCACCAGAGGCAGACACGCATCCTGCAAACAGGAATTTGTATTTGGGATGAGGAGACACACACATATACAGAGATAACCAAGTCTCATAAAATATTTGAAGAAGTCAGGGAAGCACTCAAAACAGCAAAGAGACCTGCTGACCACTGAGCTGATTAATAGAGACAACAGAAGAAAACTCAAAAGTAAGTAATAGATTCAGAGAGATTCAAGAATTTATCACATACAACCAATTAAAGTTAAACAGGCTGCTATGAAAAAAATAACAGTTGGAATAACCAGAAATTGAAAGTGTAAATAAAAAAAAAAAAACAACCTCTCCTCAATAAAATAATTTTAAAAACCCCACATCTCTCTTGAGTTGGAATATCTAGCCAACAGAATACATTGCAAAAAGAAATGGAAAGTTTGACAGAAATACTTAGGGGTTATAGGGATAGATATTTAAGTTCCAACAACCGTGTAATGGAAATTCTCAAAGGAGAGAGAAGAAAAACTGGATGAGGGGGCAGTAATAAGAGAAAGAAGAGGATTTTGTGTAACTGAAGATAATGAAAGTTTTCATCCTTGGAGATTAGACAGGAGCGACGTTCACGAGGTCCAGGTGTTTCTTTGTGCTGGGTTTTATAAGGAATAAATAAAAATCCCTCTGGCCATTCTCTTTCTCACCCAGCATCCTGATATTTCTATCTCATTGCAACAAAAAAGGAACAGAGTGATCTGACCCAGACAGGGCATCCCTTATTTTGTTTCCCCAAAATGTTCTGGGTCCTTCTATCCCCATCCCCACTGGAGGCAGCACTTCCAGACTGAATCAAATTTTATCACTCTTCAGCATCCCTGGGTGTAATGTCATGGCTACACTTTCATTTGGGCAGTGTGCTATTTTCATTGTTTTGGTGATGATGTACAAATAATTAAACCTATCTTTATCACTAGAATTAAATATGTCATTATAAACAGCCAAATATGAAATTTTATATAAATGCTGTTTCAATATGTAATTGTTTGGGAGCAGGTTGGAGAAATTATTGCTATCAAGAAAGGTATATTATAAACTGTAACTTTTCAAATTAACTGTTTTTCATGCCAGGTCTTGCACAGTCAGGTTCTTGGGGCTGTTTTGATGAATTTAACAGAATTGAATTGCCTGTGTTATCAGTGGCAGCCCAACAAATTTATATCGTTTTGACAGCAAGAAAAGAGAGAAAAAAACAGTTCATTTTTTCTGATGGTGATTGTGTTGATTTAAATCCAGAATTTGGAATCTTCTTAACAATGGTGAGAACATAGGCTTTAAAGGCAATTTGATTTGTTTAATTGTTATAGACTTAAATAAAACAAAACATATATTAGTAGGTAAATGACTGACTATCCAGAGGTCATGAGCTAGTCTCACTTATCGAATGATTTGTTGTGAGTAGTAAAAATAGCCCAGACAAAAGATAAAATAGTAATATGTTCATGATAATAATAGCTACTGTTTATTGAGCACTTATTATGTGTAAGGTGCTGGGTTAAGTGTTATATGTATTATATCAGACAGGATAGCTGCAGTAACAGACAATCCCCAAATCTTAGTGGCTTAAAACCACAGAGATTTATTTCTCCCTCATACCACATGTCCATTGCGGGTTGATTGCGATGGCGGTAGGGGAGGGCAGGGTTGACTTCCTATGATCCTTACTCTGGTACTGTCTCAATCATTGGTGGTTGCTGTAGCAAAGGAAAAAGACAACATGAGAAGAACTATGCTCTTGCTCTTAGAGTTTCTGTCCAGAAGTGACATGGTCAGAAGTCATTGATTAAAGCAATTTACATGGCCACACCTAATTTCAAGGGGCAGGGAAGTACCTTCCTGTACTGTATTTTGTATGGTGGGTATTTTATAACTGAGGTACCCAAGGAAAGGGAGATTTAAAAACTTGCTCATCACACATCCCATTAGAGCAAGATGTTACTGTCTGTCTAATATCAAAACCTGACTACTTAACTGCTACACTTGGGTTTTCTCTGACACTCAATAAACAATGATGGAAATGGTTTAAAATTTCCAAAATAATTCAGCAAGGTTCTATACCAAAGAATTGTTACATATTCAGTTACCATGTGATTGAGGGCAGAGCCTTGAGATACAATGTTGTAACGATAGAAAACCAAAGGCATGAATACATAGAATTTCTGTGAATTGGAGAAGTGAAGTTAATGTTGAAAGAGTTTTATTTCATGTTTTTATTTGTTCTCTGTACAGTTAAATCTCTAAGTTGCAAGATAATACAAAGTGCTCTGAGTTTAAAGTGTTCCAGAGGACAAGGATAAAGACAAGAAAGTTTCTGATAAGCTTTATTGTAAGCAAACATCCAGTAAAGGAGTTGGGGATAGACAATAATAATCTAGAAGTGATCAGTTATAACTCAGAAAATGGGGTGAAGTGTGATGCTATGGCCTAGAAGAATATAAAAGAAGTTTAACATTCTCCCTGAATTAATAATATTGGAAATATCAATTAGATATTGCATTAGGCTGTGAATAACTGAGGCGAAAAATAGTGGCTTAACAAGTAAGGATTTATTCTCTTAAGATCCTTCTATGCTTCTGCTGAATCATGGTTTTCATCTTCAAGGTCACCTTATGACCTAAGATGTTACAGAGCATGTCTGTTTTGCTGCAGTCCATTGATTGAATGAACTCCCTTCAAACAAATATCAAGGATATTGTGTACCGTGTGTCCCTTTGTATCTCACTGTCTAGAATTTAATCACACCAGCTGCAAGGCAGTCTGGGAAATGTAGTTTTTAATCTGGGTGGTGATGCACCCAGCTTGCACTGGTGTTCTGTGACTAGGTAAGGAGAAGAGAAGGCATATTGAGAGGTAACCAGCAATCTCTATTCTCAGCACCTTGCAAGGTATTTGGCCTATTGACAGTGCCCAGTAAATGCGCAGGGACTGAAGGTTCTTAATGCACTTTCCTAAAATAACTGATCCCCCTTTGACTTCCTCGTCTTTGAACCCTAACCTTTCCTTTGGACTTTTGGATCTGACCTATCCTCAACCTGTTTTATTTATGATGTCTTAGCTTCCTTTCCACCTCTACTTTTGACCTTTTCAATATTTTTCTTGTCATTCTCCTATTTCCCTTCACCCTCATGGGTTTTTTTAAAGGTATTTTTTCAGCCAAAGAACTCTGTAATTCTGACTGCAAAGGATAATTGAGGAGATGAAATAAAAAAGTCACCTAAGTAAAGTGATCAATATGAAATCTCGAATTTTCTTCCTCTTTCAATGACATATTTTAGATCATAACTATCCCGGTATCTATTCAGTTTTCTTTTCTTTTCTTTTCTTTTTTTGTGAGGAAGATCAGCCCTGAGCTAACATCCATGCCAATCCTCCTCCTTTTGCCGAGGAAGACTGGCCCTGGGCTAACATCTGTGCCCATCTTCCTCCACTTTATATGGGATGCCACCACAGCATGGCCTGACAAGCAGTGCATTGGTCCGTGCCCGGGATTCGAACCCGGGCCACCAGCAGCGGACTGTGCACACTTAACTGCTACACCACAGGGCCAGCACCTCTTTGCTATTTTCTTAACCAGTAGATACACAGATGCTTAATTTTTGCTACACAAAGTGGTGTGTGTGTGTGTGACCTTATTAGTATAATGAAAATGGAAATATGTAAGAACGTGATGTGACATTAATAAATATAGATCCTCCAATACACATTTTTGAGAAAAGAGGGACGTTTTATGCATCTAATGTTTTCAATACCACCTTATAGTCTGAACTAGGGATTTGAAATGTATTTGTATTCATGAAATGAAAATTCTATCAACAATTAAATATTAAATAATTTTAACTTTTAGAACCCTGGATATGCTGGGCGTCAGGAACTACCAGAAAACTTAAAAATTCAATTTAGAACTGTTGCTATGATGGTTCCTGATAGACAGGTAGGCACCAGGATTTGAAAGCACAATATAATTTATGTTCTTTACCTGTTTTTCACTAAAGTTGTTGAAAAATCTCACTGTATTAATTTTCAGATCATTATGCGAGTTAAACTTGCAAGCTGCGGTTTTCTTGAAAATGTTATCTTGGCTCAAAAGTTTTATGTTCTTTACAAGCTCTGTGAAGAGCAACTTACTAAGCAGGTAACTTTTTATATCTATTTTTCCCCTAGCTATGGAACTTGATTTTTTTACTTGGCAATTTTTTACCTTGATAAATGCTAAACGGTGAGTTAAAAAAAATCTCATGGACTCTTCTAAAATATATTTATAATTAATTTGACCTATTGGTTATGTATTTTTGACAACTTTTTTATTTTGAAATAATTATAGATCCACAGGAAGTTGCAAAGAAATATACAAGGAGGTTCCGTGTATTTCACCCTGCTTCCTTCAATGTTGACATTTTATAACTATAGTACAATAACAAAACCAGAAAATTGACGCTGGTACAATCCATAGAGTTTATTAAGATGTCACCAATTGTATATGCACTTGTGTGTATGTGTAGTTCTATGCAGTTATGTCATGTGTAGATTCATGTAACTGTCACCACAACCAACATAGAGAACTGTTTATGACCACACGGTTCCCTCATGCTGCCTCTTTATAGCCACACCCACCTCTCTCCCAAATCCCTAACCCCTTGCAGCCACTAATCTTTTCTCCAGCTCTGTAGTTTTGTTATTTCAGGAATGTTATATAAATAGAATCATATAGTGTATAACCTGTTAGTTATGCATTTTAAATCTATTTGCCTCTCAAACTGTATCAGACTGTCTTATTCTCAAAAGATATTTAAAGTGTGAACACTGTATCATACAGCTTGATCTTTCCAATGGACTGATCATTTTTCAGTCAAAGGAAAGGTGGGAGAATTGAGCTGATAAAATTTTGCAGCTCAGTCACTCCAAAACTATAGTAGATAAGTATTGGAATATCTACCTATATGTATATAGTGGGTCTACATTTCAGAGTTTTTCAATTAAATAATCTTTTTTCTCTCTTTTCTCATCTTAGGTTCATTATGACTTTGGGTTGAGAAATATTCTGTCTGTATTGAGGACACTCGGATCTCAAAAAAGAGCCAGACCAGAAGACAGTGAATTAAGCACGGTCATGAGAGGACTAAGAGATATGAACCTTTCTAAATTGGTATTTTTTTTCTCTGAATTCACTTCTCTTTCAAGATTTTGACATGGTTTCTTTCTACTCAGCTGACAAATGGGGATTGGCTCATGTTACCCTGTGAACATTAATAACTGCAGGGACAATAGGTGTGCAAAGCTACTGCTGTGCTTCCAGAAGAAGGCAAAGACCCCCATGGCCTTATATGACCAATATGGCCTGGAAATGCATCCTCTTATCAGTTGTGTGCTATAAAACAGTCTTCAGCCCCCAAATTTTAGTCTAATCCTCTACCATTATCCATAATGTAACACAAATTCTAAACATGAAAATCTAGATTCCCAGGGAACCATGAGAACTTTTTGCTTTCTCTGTATACGACTAGTTTATCTCAGCTATGTCTCTCCCAAAACATCAACACCATTTCTATTTTCCAAAAATGCATTAGAAATTTGCCATGGAGATGATAATAGTTATTTCACTGCTGTCATGCTTGTCACAGTTGTGGCCAGGTTGTTTTGAACTAGCTGATGGACAGCTTCATGTGGTGTTTATTCAAGGGCTTCTGTATGCTACGTCTTGTGTCCATGCCCTGGGAGTACAAGGTTGAGGAAGAAATGGTTCTTAGGAAGCTCACATTCTAATTACAAACACTAACAATTAACATCTGTGTAGTTCATTACTATTACAGAGCCTTTTCAGGTTATTGTCTTCTTTGAGTCTCACAGCAACTCTGTGGGATATGGATGGCTAGTGTGCTCATCGCCATTTTACTTATGAGGGAACAGAGACTCAGAGAGTTTGGAGAACTCATCCACAAATACAGTCAGTTGAGAAGCTGGAATAAAAACCTACAAGACTTTCTGATGCCAAATCCTCTGCTCCTTTCAGTAGCCTTCACTGCCTCCCTTAGATAACAGTATTCTTGAAACTCCTAGAAAAGAATTCCAGAAAGCATGAGGGGAGCTCCAGAGACTAAGGAGAAATCAGAAGGGGTCAGCAGTTGGGAATGGAGTGATCTAGGTATTAAAGATGCAGTAAATAAGGATTAGTCAGTTTACTCAACCCTACTGTTTATAAGAAAGGCAGAACTCTGTTCTGATGGTTTTCCAGCCAATATTGGATGAGCCAGTCATGCAAGGTTATGGATATTTTCCTTACTTAAATGCAATATTAATATTCTATTCTTGTGGGGTTGGGACTATTAATTGCATGTTTTAAAAGTTGATGTGTATGCCTGTCTGTGAGAAGAGATAAAGGAAAGAGATCAAACTTTGGAGCAGTAGATTGTAGAAGATGTTGAATGCCAAGGAACGTTGGGTGCAATGCTATTGGTAATGTAGATTCATGGTGATGTTGAGGAGAAAGTACTAGAGGATACAAATCTGGTTAGGAGAGTAATAAATGATTTTCTGGGCATGAAATGATAAGTGCTATGTGCTTCCTAGCTGGCTGATAAATATTTGTTGACTGAATGAGTAAATTTAATTTATGCAATCCTAGGTCGATGAAGATGAACCCCTGTTCCTCAGCTTAATCAATGACCTGTTTCCTGGATTACAGCTGGATAGTAATACTTACGTGGAACTACAAGCTGCAGTAGCCAACCAGGTTCAGATAGAAGGTTTGATTAACCATCCACCCTGGAATCTCAAACTTGTGCAGGTAAAGAAATTTTAACCTATTATTAGTATGACAATAAGTGTGTGTTGTTAAAAATTGCCATTTGAGGAGAACATGTGATATTGGTTACATCAACATTACTTGATGTAAATGTTGAAACTAAATTAAAATATACATCATTGCAAGAAGAGTCCTCAGGGGGATGTGTTGGTCCTAGAGGGATGGGATGGATTTACCCTGCCTATCCTTTATACTTTATCCTTAATCTCTTCTCACAGACAGGCATACACATCAACTTTGAAAACATTTACAGTAAACAGGCAGTAATTTCCTGAGTTTACTTATACCTGGTGAGAAGGTTGGGTGGTAACCAGAATCTCAAGAACAGTTAGGAGGGGATAGTAGGCTATAAAAACCCAGGGAGGTAGAATGACCCAGCTGGCTTTTTGTGCTGATCTGGCAGTATTGCCCACAGCTGAGTGCCTTTGTGGGGCATGGAACCCAAGGAATCTGGCAGTGTTACTTTGCTCCTGCTTTGCATGTGGACATGTTCACGCCTACACTAAGACTTGAATCCTTTGCCTGCATCTCTTGGTGTCTTTCTTGCCATCACATTTCATCCCTTTGACAACCACCCAACCACTTTATTAGTAGAGTCAAGAAGCTATGGCAGAGACACAGGATTAAATCTCTATGAGCTTGATGCTTTCGGGGTATTTTCCAGGGCTTTTGGAAAATGAAGGTACTGAAATTGTGGAGAGTGTTAAAAACTGCATTTGAAAAAGAACAATTCTTATTTTAACTTACTGTTCTTGCCAGATTATAAAAGTGCAAGTATATGAGACATATCCAAATCTTACAAGGAAATATTTAAAGTTTAAAAGTAAGTTTTTCATCATCTGTGTATTGGAGACCACTTAACTTTTTTAAATTTCTGCGAAAGCATCATTTTATATATAATATGCATATAGGATACTGAGTACTAAAATCCTAGTCATCTCAATGTGTGGGGACCAGGATATTGTGTTCTTTTTTGATGTCACTAACATTACTCTTTAAAATAATGTTTCAGCTAGTGCCTCTGTTGCTTTTAAACTATGAGTTACTGTAGGAATAAATTTCTATCTAAAATGTTAGGAGAATAACTCAAATTCTACCTCTGATCGGCTGTAAGGGCTTTAACTTCTCATATTTGTTAAGAAATCAATAGATGGGATGTTGTAATAGACACTGTCCACGTTCTAGTGTGTCTCCTTGAGGCTCTTTTACCATTTCTCGGCGCCCCTTCCCCAGCTTCTGTGTGACTCTCACCCCCACATTCACCACTACCTTCAGGAGGACAGAAGCCACTGGGTTGGCAGGCACAAACTGCAGGCTGTGCCATGCCTGGGAGTTGATTTCCCACCCACTCCCAAACCAATCTTTCTTTACTTAAGGACTGATGGATGATGGAGTAGGAAGGTCAAGCTCCCCTGCCTCCAGGGGGTGAACAAACGCTGCGTGGTAACTTAGCTTCCAGAGTGACCTGCGAGACCAGTCTTAAGTCAGCCCTCTACAGAATTTTGTCCTCAGTCACACCTTGCTTGGCTTCTCCTCATCCCTGTCCCACTTCCCCCACTCCCTTATCAGTTTCTCCTGGGAGCACTTCCTGCATAAATCACCTGCACAGGAATCCTCAGCTCAAGCTGTGCATCTGGGGAACAAGAAGGCAGATGCGTAACTTGGATTTTCACCGCGATGGTGTGTGTTGCTGCTCGCCACCACTAGGGGGCAATATCATCACATTGCATGCAGAGAAAGTGGAAAAATTCCTCCTTATGTATCAGCAAACCAAAATCATAAGGAATAGCAGTTTGAGAAGCAAAAACTAAATCCTGAATTAATTATTTACAAGATGTAATTCAAGTTCCACATCGTCATTACTTTATCACTTTTATCATTTTATAACGTGCAAATTTGCTATCCATATCTAGTAAAACAAAAACCATTTTTTTTTTACATTTTCTCATCTTTTAAACAGTGAACTAGTTACTTTAATGAAGCGCTTATTGAAAGCTTTTTAAATATCAGCACACTACTTCAATGAAGGTCAGCAAAAGACTCATAAGTTACATTTTTCAATTGATTGTTTCATTGCCTAGTTATACGAGACATCGCTAGTACGTCACGGCTTGATGACCCTTGGGCCCAGTGGTTCCGGGAAGACAACTGTTATAACAATCCTGATGAAGGCATTAACAGAATGCGGGAGGCCTCATAGAGAAATGCGCATGAATCCAAAAGCTATTACTGCACCTCAGATGTTTGGCAGACTGGACACTGCTACCAATGACTGGACAGATGGGATTTTTTCTACTCTGTGGAGGAAAACATTAAAAGCTAAAAAAGGTGCACATAAACTCTCCTTTGTGATTATTTTATTCCTGCCAGTTTATGAATAACACAATTATTTGTTTAACTTCCTGTTTTAATTATTTGCAGGTGAAAAGTGATTTTCTGTTTTAATTATTTGCAGGTGAAAACATTTTCCTTATTTTAGATGGTCCTGTAGATGCCATTTGGATCGAGAACTTAAATTCTGTGTTGGACGACAATAAAACTCTCACGTTAGCTAATGGAGATCGCATCCCCATGGCCCCTAGTTGTAAGCTTTTGTTCGAAGTCCACAATATTGAGAATGCCTCTCCTGCCACGGTTTCTAGGATGGGCATGGTCTACATCAGCAGCTCTGCTCTCAGCTGGAGGCCAATATTACAGGTGGGGACAAGAGACCCGCAGAAGTGTGCTCAGCCTTTGTCCATGTTTCACTTTCTTGATAAACAGAGATTCTGTTTCTTTGCTGCAGGCATGGTTGAAGAAGCGCACTGCACAGGAGGCTTCTGTGTTCCTAGCTCTGTATGATAAAGTGTTTGAAGATGTATATACATTTATGAAACTAAACCTCAATCCAAAAATGCAACTCTTAGAGTGCAACTATATTATGCAAGTAAGATTTTTTTGGTGCATTCACTACCTAGACTTGAGATTTTTTTTCCCACTTAGTTGCGGTTTAGAGGCATCTGAAATAGAAAATTCATGCAGTCCATAGAAATCTTTTTATGATGTGGCTGTGAAAGTTCTGAGAAGTTTGATTTCTATTAAAGATCTCATTAATGCTCTTACTGCCATCTCTTTATTATTTTCACTTCTGAGAAAGGTGTTGTCTGGGGAAGAGGAATGAACTATCTTTCCCACCTTCAAACTCAGTAACCTTCCCAGAAAGGGCATTCAATTACGAGAGTAGACAAAATAAACAAAGAAAGCTGGCAGTTCTACAGAAAGGTAAAGAAAGGAGCTGGTGGCCATCAGGAAAACTTGGATGGCAATCTTGGCTTTGCAAATTTAGTATATATCAGATGGGAAAACCTTTAAACAATTATCTGCGTAGTTGGTAGCATTTTTTTTTTTTCATACTCAGTTTTCCTTAATAGTCTTTGGAAAAAACAGAACTAATCATAGATTTTTAAAGGCTCTCCTGATTCTAGTCTATAGGTGATCTCTCATCCATTCTAGTGCTTTGATTCTCTATTAGTGTAAGGGATGTCAGTCAGTGAGGGTAGGTAGGTTAGAAATAGTACATAAGGCCCAAATCAATGAATTATTTAGTAATTACTTTAAAATGCATAATATAAGTGAAAATCTTGTCTTGAAATAATTTTGTTTTTAAAGACTGAGGACGTCTTACTGTAGATATATTTTTTTTCTGATGCCATATGGGGGTTGGCACACTTTTTCTTCAAGGGCAGAAAATAAATATTTTAGGCTTTGCACAACTCTCTGTCTCAACCACTCGACTCTGCTGTTGCAGTGCAAAAACAGCCAGGCACGATGCGTACATGAATGCGTGTGACTGTGTTTCAGTAAAACTTGATTTGCCAAACAGATGGCTGGCCCCTGGGGCCGCAGTTTGCTGAGCCCTGCAAAATGTTAAAAAGAAATAAAATCTTTGATGTAGAAAATTTGGAGTAGCAAAACTTTAGAACCAGAAACTATCTTAGAAAACATGTAGTCTAGGTCTTTTGCTTTACAGATCATGAAACTGAGACTCAGAGGTTAGTGGCATGAGCTGGGAATAGAAACCACACCTCCAGATTCCCAGTTTAGCATCCTCTCTGATAGACTGTGCAGCCCGTTTAAAGCAGGATGGACTTCTAAATGCTGTTGGCTGTAGGACAGTGATCAAGCAGTATTTGGAGATATACTTGTTTTCTTCTCTCTTTCCCTCCTTTTAAATTTGTTATCATTTTAAAATTTTTATTAAAAAATTTAAATATAAAAATTAATTTTATTGTATTTTAAATATTTTCAGTCTCTCAATCTTCTGGAAGGTTTAATTCCCTCCAAAGAAGAAGGTGGTATTTCATGTGTTGAACATCTTCATAAATTATTTGTGTTTGGCCTGATGTGGAGTTTAGGAGCCCTTCTGGAGCTGGAAAGCAGAGACAAGCTTGAAGCCTTTCTACGAAAACATGAAAGCAAGTTAGACTTACCAGAAATACCTAAAGGCACGAATCAAACCATGTATGAGTTTTATGTTACTGATTATGGTAAGCACAGTGACTTATACCTGAAATGAAATGACATGTTTTTAATGGGAAAAATATAAACTTCTGTAATATTTCTATGGGGAAATATTAAACCAATTATGAATAACATAGTTGCTAATACCATTTTTAAAGGGCTTATATGCAAAGAGTAGTGGAATTTTCCATATTGGCTGTGACAGAAACTGGTATAGAGACTCTTGGCTTCTCCTTTTGGAATGGACTAAGTGAAGTATGCATAAATAAGCTAGCAATACCTCTTACATTGCCTACTTTCTAGTGCTTGAAGACTAAAGGTAGCAGTGTAGAGAACACAGATTCTTCATGATGCAAAACATGGTAATGCATGCAACAGAGCAGACCCACAACTTCCTTGTTGGAAATGTCAGAATAACTAGAGAATGAAGCAAGCAGATGGTGTCCTACTTACACGTAGCAGACTCGGCAAGGTCCGGTGCTGTAACCTCAGCCCCCGACCTCCTGTGTGTGGTAGGGTCCACCTCACCTTTCCCTAAAAGAAATGCCCTTGAGCATGGTGGCTTTATCCAGAGCCTAGCTCCCAATTCTTCTAAGTTCCAGAGAAGAAAAAACATGCTTCCTAAAAGCTGCATTTACCTCTGATTCTTCCTAAAACCCCAAAATGGCAAAGGTATTTTTTTGTTTTCATGCATAAATCAAAAGGATAAACAGAAAAGGAGAGTAGACAGCAATAATAACATTTTAAAAGCAAGAAAGCAGAAAGGTAAGTGGCAATTGATTCAGCACACTGGGCGAAGGGAAGCCCTAGACTGGCAGTGGGAAGAGTTAAGAAGCAATGTCGTGTACATCACAGAGCCTTCAAAGGGCTCAGGCATTGGGAAGTGGGGCGGAGGTGGAGGTGAAGACCACAGAGGGCTGCTTGTAAGTCTGTTTAAGAAACAGACCTCCAGGTCCTCTTCCCAAAGCCATGCTCCTAGACAACTGTACCTACCTCATAGCAGCCAAAGACTGAAGAATTATTGTTTGGAGATTGTAAAACACAGGATTGCCTAGACTTGGGAGACACCAGGCACATTTGAGGGTGTGAGAATCATACTGAAAATGGGGATTAAGTGAAAGTTTGTGTTTTAGAGGGCCTTGATAAAGAGATTGAGGTAAATGAATTCTTCAGCTGGCCGGCTTTAACCAGAGTGACCAATAATTCTGCCGCATGTGATTAGATGTATTAAAGATATGGAATGATAAAAGGGAGCTCTAATTCAAAATGCAAACTAACAGTTAAATGCATCCTTAAATCTAGATAGGAATTCTCTTAGAATCCAGAGCCAACCAAAGGATGGTTCTTTGAAAAGATCAATAACTTTGATAAATCTCTTATCAGAGATATCAAGAAATAAAAAGACATAAATTACCATTGTCCAGAATGAGAGGAAACATCACTACAGATCCTACAGACATTAAAAATAAGAATGAGTATTAGAAACAATGTTATGAAAATACATTTGACAGTGTAGATGAAATGAACAAATTCCTTGAAAGATACAAACTACCAAACCTCATCAAGAAGAAATAGATGTCCAAACATCTGTATATCAGTGAAAAACTGAATTTACAGTTAAAAACCTTCCCGCAAAGAAAACTCCAGGCACAGATGACTTCACTGGTGAATTCTACCACATACTTAAGGAAGAAATAATACCAATTCTACATACACTCTTCCAAAATATATAAAATGTATAAGGAAGAAACACTCCCCAGCCCGTTTTATGACAGTATTATCCTGGTACGAAAACCAGAGAAAGACATTGCAAGAAAAGGAAACTATAGATTAGTATTCCTCAGGAACATTGACATAAATTTATTAATAAAATTTTAACAAATTAAATCCAATAGTATATGAAAAAGGTAATATATTAAGTCCAAGTGAGCATTTATTCTAGGAATGGAAGGTTGGATTAACATTTAAAAACCAATTAATGTAATTCACCATATTAACAGACTAAAAATCAAACAAACCATACAGTCCAATTAGATACAGAAAAATATTTGACAAAATCTAAAATCCTGTCGTGATGAAACTCCCAGTAAACTAAAAATAGAAACTTTATCATCCTGATAAAGGACATCTACAAAAAAGCTAACATTATACTTAATGGTAAAAGACTAAAGACTTCCTTACCAAGATCAGGAACAACACAAGGATGTTCTTTCTTATCACTTCTATTCAACATTGTACTAGAGGTTCTAGCCAGTGCAGTAAGGTAGTAAACAAACAAACAAACAAATAAATAAATGTAATACCTACAAATTGGAAAAGAACAGGCAAAGCTCTCTTTATTTGCAGATGATATGACCATCCGTAGACTCCTCAAAAAAGATGTTAGAACTAGTCAATGAATTTAGCAAGGTCACAGGATGAACGAACAATATATAATAACAAGGTGTATTTTTATATGCTCAGAGCAAACAACTGGAGATGGAGATTTTAAAATACCATTTAAAATAGCATGCAAAAAATAGAATCCCTAGGGATAAATTTAACAAAATATGTGTAAGATCTGGGGGCCAGCCCGGTGGCGTAGTGGTTAAGTTCGTGTGCTCCGTTTCACATCTTGGGTTCATCCTAAGTTCGAGGGTTTGGATCCTGGGTGTGGACCTACACACCGCTTATCTAGCCATGCTGTGGCAAGTGTACCAGTATGAAGTAGAGGAAGATGGGCATGGATGTTAGCCCAGGGCCAATCTTCCTCCGCAAAAAGGAGGAGGATTGGCAACAGATGTCAGCTCAGGGCTAATCTTCCTCACCAAAAAAGAAAAAACAAAAAACAAAACCTGAGATTATATACTGAAAACCACAAAACTGTGCTAAGAGAAATTAAAGAAGCCCTAAATAAATGAAGAGATAAATCGTGTTTATGGATCAGAAAACTCAATATTGTTAAGATGTTATTTCTCTCCAAATTGATCTACAGATTCAGTGCATCACAGTGAAAATCTCAATAGGCTTTTTTTGTTGAAACTTAGAAATGAATTCTAAAATTATATGGAAATGCAAAGAACCTAGAATAACCAAATCAATTTTTTTTGTCTTCAGTGTTTCATTTTCATAATGTTTTTTATTGCAGTAACATTGGTTTATACCATTTTATGAATTTCAGGTGTACATCATTGTACTTCTATTCCTGCATAGATTGCATCATGTTCACCACCCAAATACTAATTACTATCCATTGCCACACACATGTGCCTAATCATCCCTTTCACCCTCCTCTCTCCCCTCTTCTACTCTAGTAACCACCAATCCAATCTCTGTCTCTATGTGATTGTTTGTTGTTTTCATCTTCTACTTATGAGTGAGATCATACAGTATTTGACCTTCTCCCTCTGACTTATTTCACTTAGCATAATACCCTCAATGTCCACCCATGTTGTCACAAATGGCTGGATTTCATTGTTTCTTACAGCTGAGTAATATAAAGTTGGAGCACTCACACAACCTAATTTGAAGGCTTCCAGTAAAGCTATAGTGAGCAGCACAGTGTAGTATTGGTGTAAGGATACGTCTATAGATCCATGGAGTAGCATAGAGTTCAGAAATAGACCCACACGTGTATGGTCAGTTGATTTTCGGCAAAGATGTCAAGGTAATTCAGTGGCGGAAAGGATTGGTTTTTCAGCCATTGGTGCCAGAAAAATAGATTAGCCAAATATTAACAACAACCACAAAACAGAGCTTTGACTCTTACACTATCCACAAAATTCATCTTAATGATGAACTCAAAGTAGATCATAAAGCTAAACATAAAAGCTAAAACTATAAAATTTCTAGAAGAAAACAAAGAATATTTGTGTCATTGGGTTAAGCAAAGATTTCTTAGATAGGATCAAAAAAGCCCAAACCATAAAAGAAAAAATTGATAAACTAGACTTTATCAAAATTAAAATCTTTTGCTATTTAAAAGTCACTGTTAAGAAAATAAAAAGTCCCGGCACAGAATGGGAATAAATATGTAACTGATAAAAGAATTTTATCCAGAATACATAAAGAACTCTTGCAATTCAATAATAACAAGAAGACAGCCAATCCAAATTTTAAAAAAAGTGGGGAATAAATTTAAATAGATGCTTCACCAAAGAAGATATATGAACGGTGAAAAAAGCAGGTGAAAAGATATTCAACATCATTGGTCACCAGGGAAATGCAAATTAAAACTACAATAGGATATCATTACACAGCCACTAGAAGGGCTAAAATTAAAAAGATTAATAATACCAATATTGGCGAGGATGTGGAGCAACTGGAACTCTCATATACTACACAATGATACAGCCACTTTGGAAAACAGTTTGGCAGTTTCTTAAAAGTTAAACATACATTTACCATATGACTTGATTTTTTGCAAGGAAAGCTGAAATGGAGGTTATTCCTCCAGTGATGAATATTTGCTTTGCTACTATCAAATGTGCGCTCCTCTGTTATCCTTCCATGCGTTCTGTGTACACAGTAACTTTTTTGGGTACAATCCTGAATCATAGTATAATCTTTTTGAAGACATTTAAAATAGCAGTTAAACTCAATAATGCAATACCAACAATGCAAATAATTCAATTTAGATGGCAACAATATGAATATCTCTGACCAAGTTTGCCTAGCCAACAGCGATCGTAAGTCATCATAGGTTGTAAGGCGCATTCCAGAGATGCTAAAATGCTAAATTCCAGAGATACTGCAGCTCATCCACAAAATTCCCTGTAAGAAAACAAAATTTTTTCTTGGAATTGATGAAATGTGGTAATAATAATTGTTATAAGAATAATATCAGCGGGTAAATTAGTAGTTACTGTAAGTCAGGAGTCTGGGTATTCTATTACACTAGTTTTAGGGCCGGATTTGTTTTTCCCATTTCTTGTGGCAAACGTCCTACGTCCAGTAATCAGTTATTTCTTTTTTGGTCTTTCCCATGTTTTCGGTTGATGTGGCTTTCCTCCTAGTTACTACACATGTCTTTGGTTTTACCACTAGCTGATTCTAATTCCATTTCAGGCCAGAGCTCACTAGATGAATGATTTAGCAATTTAAAAACTGACTTTGTAAAGAGGCAAAACAAATTTAAATTATCAAATGCCATATACATTAGATAAGCAGATACGTTTACGTGTTTTAGGAAAATGTTTTAAATACTTATATGATTCTATTGATTGTCTATAGCACTTGCATTTTTGTATTCTGAGGACTTTTGAAGAATGCAGTTTTATTAAAACCAATTTTTGCTTATTTTATAGGTGATTGGGAGCACTGGAATAAGAAACTTCAGCCATATTATTATCCAACTGACAGTATCCCAGAATATTCATCAATTTTGGTTCCAAATGTTGACAATGTCAGGACAAATTTTTTGATAGACACCATTGCAAAACAACATAAAGTAAGTTTGATAGTTTCTTAGGTGATTGCAAACCATGTAGGAAACGTACCTTTTCACATACTACAGATAGAAAAATTAAATTCCAGCACAGAGGGCTGGAAGTAGTGTAATTTGAGGGGAACGTGTTTGGCAAACGAACCCCAGGTCCCAGGATACACTTAATTCAATATCTCCTGAACTGCGCGCCCCAGCTTGCTAAGGAAAGTGGGTGTCTGCTTACGAAGTCCTTCCATACTCCCATGGTCCTGCGAATATTCACCCATATTTTCTTCCAGCACTTTTATAGTATATGTTTTACATTTAAATATTTAACTCAACTAGAATTTATTTTGATATAAGTGTAATTCTAAAAAGTAATTAAAATTAATTGCATTAAAGTATAGAATGAAAGAACAGTAGAACCATAAGATATTTAAAACTAAACGTGTTAGCAACACCTTTCAACATGGTGATCCTATGATTGCAGGCTGTTTTGCTCACAGGAGAGCAGGGAACTGCAAAAACTGTAATGGTTAAGGCCTATTTGAAAAAATATGATCCTGAAGTACAGTTATCTAAAAGTCTGAACTTTTCATCTGCCACAGAACCAATGATGTTTCAGGTAAAACTCATCATTTGCTATAGTAATCAACGTATTAAATATTTTAAGTGATTGTTATAATAAAATGTGTATGCATATAAAACATTTATATATGTGTGTATATATATGTGTATATATATACACACACAGACGCACATATATATCAAAAGAAATGATACTGCAGTTGGCATTCAGGCTGAGATTGAAGCCAAATCCAAATTGCATATTCAGGCCTAATAGTGAGGCTGAGGCTGAATTTTGCAGTGTATCTCTTTTCATATAAATTAATGGTTAACATTCAAATTACTTATTTTTAAAAATTTCACAAAATATGTTTTGATAATTATATTTATACATATTAAATAAATAAGTAAATTCTATTCTATCTGAAAACCATGCTCGTCATTTGTGGTAATACGGATTGAAATCTAATGCATAAGACAAACCATCTCCTTTTCTCTAGAGAACAATTGAAAGCTACGTGGATAAGCGAATGGGCAGTACATATGGGCCACCAGGAGGCAGAAAAATGACGGTCTTTATTGATGATATTAATATGCCCGTGATTAATGAATGGGGAGATCAGGTATGACTGAAATATCTCTTATAGATGATATTTAATCACTATTTTTAGTTAAATATAAAGAGGTCAATAACCATCATCTTATGAAGCCTAGTAACAATTCTCAGTCTTTTTTGACGTCTTGGTTATGGCTGACTTTCTCCCTTCTTGAAATCCCTCTGCTCTTTTCTGCAATAATGTCCTCCTGTCTCTGGCTGCTTGATTCCAGGTCCTTTCTGGCTCCTCTCTTCCTTTTCTCAGGGTTTTATCCTTGCTCTCTTACCTCTTACTCTATATACTCTCTCCGAGGAGTACCTGGTGGTAGAAAACACGTTTTTTTAAAATAACTCTGCTACTCACCGCTGTCCTAGTTGTGATCACCTTTCAATGGCAGAGTCAGTCCCCATTAGAGAGCCTCACTGATGCTGCCAGAATTCTGCATGCTCCTGGTGGGATCCCCAACACCTCCTTCCCACTGCCGTCCACTCCCTAATCAACACCATCCATCCAGAGCCCGCCAGGACCAATCCATGCCGCCCTTTATCCCGGTTCACCTCAGACACTACCAGGAGGTCAGGTCTCCCAGGTCCCCACTTGTCCTGAGACTAATCCCCAGACAGCTCTGCATGGCCCTTCTCTGACCCCGTCTCCTACTTTCTCAACTCCTGAAACCTTTCAGTGTGCCCCTGGGAGCCACAGTACATCTGCAAAGTTCCCTGTAAATTCAACTTCTTCTCTGAACTTTCCTTCATCTTCTTGCTCTGATGGACACCCAGGACGCTGCCTTCCCTGCAGACGTCTCAAGTTGAAGCCCTGGGCCTGGAGGTGAGGAAGATGTCCTCCTTGCTTCTCGTTTCCCTACTGCCTGAAATCCTTTCAGTCTGACCTCACGCTGCCCTTGTTGTTGCAGTCATCTGGATCCTCAGATCACACCCCTTCTTTCCCTAGAGATTTTGGTTCCTGGGTCACTGTTACTGTCTCCAGTACTGTCCTTGTCCCTAGGGCAGCCTTCATTGTTGTGTTGCACAGGGGCTCGCATTTCAAAGGGCCCTGCCTGTGGTTCAACACTCTGCTGTAGCCATCTTGAAATTCTTTTTTCTTTTCTTTTTTTTTTGGTGAGGAAGATTGGCCCTGAGCTAACACCTGTTGCCAATCTTCCTCTTTGCGCTTGAGGAAGAGTGGCACTGAGCTAACATCATGCCCATCTTCCTCTAGTTTGTATGTGGGACACTGCAGCAGCATGGCTTGCTCCGGATCTGAACCTGCAAAGCCTGGGCTGCAAAAGCAGAGCATGGGAACTTAACCACTGCACCACCGGCCTGGCCCCTTGAAGTTCTTAATAATAATTTTTGACCAAGTAGCCTTGCATTTTCATTTTGCCTTGGACCCCAGAAATTATGCAGCTGGTCCTGCTTGTCATAATTCTCAGTGATGCCAATATCCACATACATGATCTTAGCCTCTTAGTTCCTTCACCTTGCCTCCTCCCAATGACCGTGTCTTCCACTCCATTTGAATTACTCATTCATGCAGTCGTACCCTACGTCTTGTCATTATCAATAACTGTGACCCCTTCATTATCTCAATTTCAAGCATTTTATTCTCTGATCATCATGTCCACTCTCTGCAGCTCATTTCTTCTGTTACTGGAGCTCGAGATGGATCTACCATCCATTGTTCCTGCCATCATGGCACTATCCCCCATTTCCTCACTTCCTTTCCCAGCTAAAATTCCACGGTCCATCATTATAATCACTGTAGCATACACCCTCTACTCACCTGTGAAAGCCTTAACCACATTAAAGCCTCGTTAAAACTCTCTGCCTGTGCAGCTAAACTTGGCTGGAGAAAACCACACAATCCTGTTATCAGTTTAAAATTATGATCATGGACCTCAACTGAGCTCCTAATGCTGCCCAGCAGTTCTACTGCATGTCTCGTCTCATGTTTTATATCTTTGTCCTATTCATTCCTTTACTGCATTTCCATTCAGGCTCCTGCTCTGTGAGATGACTATTTCATTCCTTCTTTTTCCCAAACCTCCAACACCTCCATTTCCTTACCCTCAGCTGAGCATAGATGTGTTGCAGCTTTCTTCCTATTTCTCTGAGGAAGTTGATTTCTTTCCTTTGTTTGCTATCTATATACTGTACTCAGTTTCTACGTTCTACTGGTTACCTAACCCTAGACAGTACATCCAGCATACACAGATAATCAAAAATAAAGATAATCAGGGGCTGGCCCAGTTGCATAGTGGTTAAGTTCACCCACTCTGCTTCGGCAGCAGCCTGGGATTCGCAGGTTCCGATCCCAGGCGTGGACCTACACACTGCTCATCAAGCCATGCTGTGGCAGCATCCCATATACAAAATAGAGGAAGATGGGCACAGATGTTAGCTCAGGGCCAATCTTCCTCACCAAAAAATAAATAAATAAATAAATAAATAAAAAAGGAGAAGGGTAATCAAACCTTTTATTCCCATCTTGTATATCCAATAACCTTTGAACACTTTAATTTCCTTTATCTTTCTCATGACATTGTTTTATTGTTGACTTATATTTTAATTCTATTTCTTTCTTTTTAGAAAAAACTCCCATGATACATTATTTTTACCATTTTATATATTCACTCTTCATTTGCATTACCCACATATTTACCACTATCTTTGCTCTTTATTCATTCTTGCTTCTCAGGCCTTCCATCTGGTATCATTTTCCTTCTGCTTTTAAAATTTCCGTTAAAGAAGGTTTTTTAATGACTGATTCTTAATTTCTGCTTGTCTGCACATGTCTTTATTTCATCTTCTTTATTTGAAAGATATTGTTGCAGGGTGTAAAAATCTAGGTTGATAGTTATTTTCTTTCATCATGTCCAATACATTATTTCTGCCTTCTTTTCCTTGTTGCTGTTGAGAAGTCAACTACCACTTAATCACTGCACCTCTGAAGTTAATCTGCCTTTTTTCACTTGCTGCTTTTAAGACTTTTTCTTTGCCTTACTTTCCTATAATTTTTTTCTTTTTTTAATGATGTTGGTGTAGATTTATTTGTATTTATTTCCTTAAGATTCGCTAGGGACTTGTAAATCTGTGGTTTGGTGTCTTTCATCATTTCTAGAAAATTCCCAGTCCTTATCTCTTCAAATATTGCTTCTGCCTCACTCTCTTTCCTCTTTTCTCAGACTCTAATGTATTTTAGACTTTCTTCTGTACTCTCTGTGTTTCTGTAATTCCCTTCTGTACATCCCAACCTTTTCTCTTTCCAATGCTTATGTTCTAGATAATTTCCCCTCTCTGTCTTCCACTTCACTAATTTTCTTCTCCACTTTGTCTAATCTACTGTCAAATTATCCATTGAGTTTTAATTTCAGTTACTGTTTGATTCTTTTTTCTTTAAAATATGTTGTCATTTTTTATAATTTCCTATTCCTTGCATATATTTTCAAATTTGTTGTCTATTTCTTTAAACATGTTGAGCGTAGTTGTTTAAAGTCTGTGTCTGTTAATTCCAGTATGTGAAGTCTATGTGGATCTGTTTCTGCTCTTTATGGTTTTAATAGTTCTTGTTTATGTTCAAATTGTCTTCTTTTCTATATGTATCTTTGACTGCTTGCTGAGTCATTGCCCTTGAAAAATTATCTGTGGCTGTTTCTTGAAGCCCAGGATGTATGTGCCCTTATCCAGACATGTTTAGAGTTTTCTTCTGCCAGATCCTTAAAAGCCTATTCAGTCAAGATCATCTCAAAGCAAGGTTAAGATTTGAATGTCTCTGGTCCACTTAGGCTATGCATATCCAGGGTGCAAATCTATGCAAGTGTCATTCTGAGGCCACAACCTCCCAGGGAAGGTTTCTTTTCTCTTTTTGTCTCCCATTCAGCAGGGATCCAAGGAAGATAGACCTCTCAGCAGTTCCTATAAGGTGAGGATATTGGAGGCATATTTAGATATCATCTATAAGCTGAAGAGCTCCTGAATTTCAGGCTCATTTATCCAATTAGGGATGTCTAGTTGGATCTCAAACTTACATTCAGGCTGAGATTGAAGCCAAGAGACATTCAAATCTTAACCTTGCTTTGAGATGATCTTGACTGAATAGGCTTTTAAGGATCTGGCAGAAGAAAACTCTAAACATGTCTGGATAAGGGCACATACATCCTGGGCTTCAAGAAACAGCCACAGATAATTTTTCAAGGGTAATGACTCAGCAAGCAGTCAAAGATACATATAGAAATTCCTGTTACTCCCTAAACCTGCTCCTCCAAAAGTGTTCTCCATCTCAAGAAATAGCAACTCCACGTTCAGTCTGCCAGGGAATCATGTTGGCTCTATCTTCAAACTGTATCCAAGATTTGACCACTACTCATCATCTCCATTGCTAACACCTGGTGCAAGCCACCATTTCTTTTCTTGATCGTTACAAATGCCTGTTCATTGTCTCCCTGTTTCCCTCACCCCTCTCAGTCTATTCTCAAATCAGCAACCAAGTAAAACATGAGTCAGATCATGACACACTCCTCTGCTCATAACCCTCCCATGAGAATTGTAGAATATAAATGCCAAAATCCTCACCATGACCCAAAGACCCTGATCTCCTCTCCCCATGATTCTGCTTCAGCCACATTTGCTGATCCTTGTACACATTGGGTGTAATGTTTGCTCAGAGCTTCTACATCTGCTGTTCCTTCCACTTGGAATGCTCTTCCCTTGAATATCTAAATGCTTTGCTTTCTCACCTCCTTCAAGTCTTTGCTCCTATGTCATGTGAGGTGAAGCCTCCTCTGCTCTCCAAATTTAGTTGCACCCCTGAGCATGGCCTATTTCTTTCTTTGTTTTGTTTTCTGCAAAAAACTTATAACATACCATTTTATTTACATGCATATACACACACAACTATACATGTGTATATTTTGTCTCCCATCACTAGAATGTATGCTCCATGAAGACAGGGAGTTTTATCTATGCTATGATAGAACCAAACACACAGTAGTCATTAAATGTTAGTTGAATGAAAGAGTGTCATATTTGAGGTGTTGTGTATCATCCACTTGGAGATGTCCAACAGAAATTTGGATATGCAGACGTGGAGCTTAGAAGGGAATCTGAAGTTAGAGTTATTGAGTTGAGATTCTTCAGGTATAGGGTTGAGATGGCATCCCCTGAAATAGTGAGAAAAGAAAAGGGTCAAGGATGGAATCCTGTAGAACAGTTACATGTGAAGAATGAGTGGAGAAAAGTGGCTTGGGAAGCAATCCAGAGTCACAAGCTGCGGTTGGAAAGAATGGAACCTCTGAAACCAACAGAGGAAAAATTTTCACTAAGGGGGGAGTGTTAGCAGTATTAGAGGCTGCAGAGAAGATAAGGACATAAAATCCAAACTAAAACATTCAGTAATATAATATTGAAATCTCAGGAGTAAAACCATCCTATATTCTGATTTAAAGTATTTTGAAGTGTTGATTATTGAGTGTGAAAGATATTGGCAAAATTTGTAATTCTGAGTACTGTTGTAATTGTATCAAATATTCCATAACTCACTTATCTACATTTATTTGGAAATTAGTTTTATCAATGTGGTAAAGACCACATTGGACTTGCACCAATCATGTTTAACTTACGGTTTAGAGTCCATGAGTGGCATCATTTAAGTCAAATTGCCTTGAAGGTGGTTGTTGACATTCACAAACACTTCACTGATAAGAGTTGAATATTTTCTTCTAATCTCATCTGTACTATTTTGTAGGAGCTATGGAGGACTATGATAGTGATGTGTTACTAAAATATTACTGTATAAAATTTCAGATAACTAATGAGATTGTGCGACAGATGATGGAAATGGAAGGAATGTATAGCTTGGATAAGCCTGGAGACTTCACTACTATTGTCGATGTGCAGCTCATAGCAGCAATGATTCACCCTGGAGGTGGTCGAAATGATATTCCACAACGTTTAAAAAGACAGTTTACTGTGTTTAATTGCACACTGCCTTCAAATGCTTCAATAGACAAAATTTTTGGTATGACTATTCTTGGTGTTTACTTTTTTTATTGCATTACATAATAAACAGAAACCACGCAAAACCTTATTTAAGAGATAAAAATGCTCTGTCTGAATTAGGGGTTAAATATCTGAAATGGAGAGCTAAGTATCAGAAAAGAGGGACTAAATACTAAGAATACTCATGTTTGTAGCCTATTCCAAGACTCAGGAATGTTTAGAAATAGCCTTGTTGAAGGTCAGCTGTGGACGTTAGTGAAACTTTGTGTTTTGGTTTTCTTGACGTGGTTAATCAGAGAAATTCGGGCTAATGAATGATGAACAATATAATATATGAAGTCAAATGTAGCACTTTGATAAGTTAATAAAAATGGGATTTTTGACACCATATTTAGGCTCACATAAACTGTACCATCAAAAATTATATACATGAAGACATACAAGAGAAACTGACCCATGCATATATGGACATTAATTATTTGACATAGCAAGCACTGTAGATCAGAAGGGAAGGGTCAGACTTTCAATTGGTAGTACTGGGATAAATTTTTTATGTAATTTTTATGGGAAAAATCACTGAAATTGGACCCCTATCTCACACTAAACATAAAATCAATACATATGGATTAAAGACCTAAATATAGAAGGCAAAGCTATAAAACGTTTGTAGGAAAATATGTAGATGACCACCGGGTAGGAAACACCTTCTTAAATGAGACTCAGAAAACACAAACCATAAAGGTGATGAAATGATAAATTTAATTAGATTAAAATTAAGAACTTCTGTTCATCTAAAAAGCAACATTAAAAGAGTGAAAAGATAAGCCCCAAATTGTAACAAAAAAATTTGAACACATATAACAAAACAAAAGAGTATTCTAAATATTTAAAGAAATCCTATGACTCAATCAGAGAAAAGCAAACAATCTAATGTGAAAATGGGCAAAAACCAGGCATTTTAAGAAGAGGAAACCAAATGACCAATAAACAAATGTAAAGATGATAAACATTAGTATTCAGGGAAATGCAAATTTAAAACACCAAGGAATACCATTGTATACCCACTGGATTTGCAAAAATGAAAAATTCTGACAAAACCAGGCATTGGTCAGAATGTGAAGCCACCGGGACTCTCATAAACCCTGCCGGTGAGAGTGTAAACTGCTACAAGCCCTTTAATACTGGGAAAGTAGAACATGCGCACACCCACAGCAGTTCCACTTCTAGGTATGTACCAATTTACCATTTTTTTCCTTTGTGGTTTGAGCTTTCTGAGTCTCATTTAAGAAGACCTTTCCCACCCAGAGGTCATACAGATACTCTCCTATATTTTCTTCCAAACATTGTATAATTTTGCCTTCCATATTTAAGTCCTTAATCCATCTGTAGTTGATTTTGCACATGTGCACCAGAAGACTTTCACGAGAATGTTCATAGAACAGTGTTCATGATAGCAAAAGCCTTGAAATACCCAATTATTTATTGGCAGTAAAATTGAATAAATAGATTGTGGCACAGGCACACAGTGTAATGCTGTGCAGCAGTGGATATGAGCGAACACAGCTACAAGCTTCATCGTGAGTGAAGCCCAGAAGTATAATGTTGAGTGAAAGAAGCAAGTCACAGAAGAATATATAACACGATTCCATTAAATTAAATTAAAAAAATTAAAGTTAAAAAAAAAGATTGAAGTTTAAAACCATAAGTGGCAAAGCTGTAAAGAAAAGTGAGTTACTGATTCTCAGCAAGTCAGAGTAGTGGCTACCTCTGGAAGAGGGAAGGGGTTATGGGTAGGGTTGGACAGACGGGGCTTCTAACGTCCTGGCGCAATGTTGCACTTCTCAGTCTAGTGGTCTGGACATGAGTGCTTGCTTATTTGTTAAACTATTTTTATACTCTTCCATATGATTAATATTTTAAATTAAATATGGAAACAAACAAACCAGAAATGGAGGTTCAGAGAAGTGAAATAACTGCCCAATCAAGGCCAGTTATTTAGTGCATGGCAGAGGTGCGGTGCTAATCCTGTTTTCTGGTTCCAGGTCCTGTGCTCCTTATATAACACATTTGTCCCACAGGGAGTTGGAGATCCAGAATCACAGGATTTCAGGAAGCAAAAGGGCCTTACAGCCATCTAGCACAACCAACCATGACTTTGGGGGATGATTTCATGTTCCCTCAAGGCTACTCTTCTTCGGTCTGTGTGACTGAAGCCCAGTTTCTTTAGCTGCTCGACCCTTCATAAACCTGCTCTGCGTCTCTGAGCAGATATTCATATTCACATTCCTCTGAAAATTCCATGCTCAGAACGGAACATAGTACTCAACATATAGTCTCACTGGAGCAAAGTGGAGTAAATCTATTTTTGCAGTCTAAAACCAAAAACATATTAAAACTTTAAGACTGGTCTATAAACCTACAAGCCAGTCCTTCCTGAGGGTGATTATGTCTGGCTGTCACTGTGCTGGGTGTTTCCTAGGAACCGTTACATGACCAGCCCAGGCCAGAGTGTTGACTGACTGCAGGTCAGGAGATGTGGGTCCTGATTCTAATTCTATCAGCAGCTAATCTATTACCTGCCTGGGCCTGGTCTCCGTGTCTGTAAGATGAGGAAGTAGTCTCTAAGTTCTTTTCCAGCTCTCATATGCTTCAGGGTGAGTGCTGTTTTACAGGCTCTGGAGCCAGGCTACCTGGGTTTAAATCTCAGATTCGCCTACCCACAAGCTGTGTGACCTTGGGCAAGTTGCTAAACCCATATTAAAATGGGAATAATAATAATAGTATCTGCCTCTGATTCTTTCTCATAGGATGTTGGGAGGGTTAAATGAGTTAATACACATAAAATGCTTATCACTGTGTACTAAGCTTTGCAGGACCCACCGCTGACTTCCAGTCTTGGCTGATTCCTAAGAGAAATTCTTAATGTCACATAATCAGTCTTGTAATAATTTATTCACAGGGATAAATATGTACCTTATAATCTTTTAGTAAGCTTGTACCTTCAATCTTATTTTTCAGGAATTATTGGCTGTGGATACTTTGATCCTTGCAGAAAGTTCAAACCTGAAATATGTGAGATGATTGCGAATTTAGTTTCAGCGGGCAGAGTGCTGTGGCAGTGGACTAAGGTACAGAATTATCTGTTGTCAATAATAAAAAAAAAGTCAACTATTATTCAGCCTAGTTCTCACCTCGTGGCTCGTGAAGTTATCATCACATCATTTGTGGTAGTGTTTTTTTGGAAAAGACAAATTAGGTGCTCAAATAGATTTATGACACCTTTTCCTTCCAGGGAGCAAATATTCTGACTGAATGATGCTTTCCATATGTATGAGATATTACTATAAACCAGACACGACATCCAAGATAAAGCAGAATTTTGCTGAAATGAGAACACTGCTTTCCCACTTGTTACTCTGATTTGTATGTCTGTCTCCCCCCAACCAAACCATGTAAGACGCTCAGATGTTTACTGACTGAGTGAATACACGATTTCTAGATATTCTTAGCTAACCAAGACTTAAAATCTAATTTGTGTGTTTCTCTGAGGTGGAGCGTGAGTTAGTGAATGGATGGAAGTGTACACAACAAAACAGGCTAGATTTTAATACACAGCTGAGTGCCCTAAGAAAAGCTCAGTAGACCCAGATGGCTCAAGGCAAACTCATGAAAAGGCAATTAAGTATGGGTCTGAGATTAAAAAAAAAAAAAAAGATTGATATATTTGCCAAAAAATGGCAAAAGGAGATAAGGATTAGTTGTCATACTTCACTATACGTTCATTAGGCCAATACACACATCTGGGCAGAAATTGTGTCCTAGGGAAATCCAGAGTGTGCCAGCCTTTCAGATTCCTGGGTGGACTGGGGGAATTCTAGATACAGAATTATCAGAAGAGGAATTGGGTGTTTCTTATGAAATGCTCTTCTGTGAAATCTCCTATAGTGATCAGTTCCTTTTATGGGCCTGCTTCTTGCCAACAAGGGTCTTTGCACACGCTGTTCTGCCTCTCTTAAAGAAACTCCAAAATGAATGGCAAGGTCTGAGTGTCTGAGATGATTTTCTGTGGTAATATCCATCTGTTTTCCAGTGGGGCTATTGTTCAATTTAATGTGCTTATATACGTATTTGTATAGCGTTGGCCTTCCTGGTGTCTTTCCGGCAAAGCTTCTTTTGTTATAGGAATGCTTACTGGCTTCACTTCCTCACCTTTCTTTACCTCTTTACCCCATTTTGCACAAGCTTTTGTTTCCACTGCTCTCATCAAGGTCACCGAGGGCCTCAATCTTGCCAAATCCAAAGGTTGATTTCTTCTTCCTCTTACATGTCTCTTTAGCAGCATTTGACAAGTGGTCCCTCTGAACACTTTTTCACTTGGTTTCAGAGGGGCCACATGCTCTTGGTTTTCTTCCTACGTCACTGGCTGCCTTTTTTAAATCCCCCTTCTTCTTTCCCTCCTCTAAATACTGGAGGGCACCTTATCTCGATGCCGAGACCTCTTCTCTATCTCCATTCTTTATCCAGGTAATCTCCTCCAGCTTCAAGGCTTTAAACACATCTCTGTGCTTATGACTTCAAAATCAACACCTCCATCCCAGGCCTCTCCGCTTGGCTCCAGACTTATTTCTAACTGCTTAGGAGACATCACCGTTTTGATGTCTAATAGCCATCTCAAAGTTAACATGTCCAAATGGAACTCTTAATTGCCCTTAAATATGATCCTCCTTCAGACTTTTGCATCTTATTTAACAGCAACACCAATTATTCTCCTTCTCAGGCTGGGTGCCATCCTTGATTTATCTCTCTCCTCCCCTACATCCAATCCATCAGCAAGTCTCAGTAACTGTGCTTTCAAAATATACCCCAAAGCTGAGCACTGATGGCCATCTCACTGTGACCACCCTGATAGGTGCTTCCATCATTTGCCCTCTGGACCATGCAGCGACTTCCTAACCAACCTCCCTGCCCTCCTAGAGTCTGCTCTTTACACAGTCCTAAAGTGCTTTTTACAAAAGTAAATCCGAGATCATTACTCCTTCTTAAGACCACCAGTAGACTCCCCGTTACACTTACAGTGAAACGCATTGCCTTGCTCCGGTCTGTGAAACTCAACCTGAGCTGGCCCCGGCTTGCCTCTCTTCCCGTCCATCACTCTGCTCCAGCTGTGCTGCCCTTCTCAATCCTCCTTGAACACCTCAAGTTTTTCATGCCCCTGGGCCATGGTACTTCATTTGACTCATTCACATCATTCTTACCTTCAGAGAGGCTTTCTCAGATCATTTTCTTTAAAATAACCGTCCATGGCCCCATCCCAGGCATCATCTGTCTCCTGATCCTACTTTATTTCTTCTAACCATAATTGTTATCATTATTATTTGTCTGTTTGTTTATCAGTATCTTTGTTTCCTATTTATTGTCAGGCTCCCCCACTAGAACGGAAGCTCCCCAAGGGCAGCAGATTTAGCTGTCCTATTTACCGTGGTTTCTTCTTAAGGGCAGTGGGAGGTGCTCAGAAATAGTCACTGAAAAGTGAGGGAATCTTCCTCCTCGCCCCTCTCCCAAATAAGCAGCTTCTTTGTATCTTTTCTTCAGATCTCCCGTCTTCACAAAGCACTCTTTTAATCCACTCGTGGTCTGTATATCACTTCACCTTTATATTAGTTTACATAGCTTGAAAGCATGAGCAGGTGAGGAAAGAAAGAACTTGAGAAAAATTGAACGGAAATATTAAAAGAGAAAGAAAGAAGCAAGTTAATAAATGAGAAGAAGAGAGAAAGAAAGGAATTCATGTAATTCTCTTTAATGATTGCTTCAGTGGCCAATGGCTGCCATCATAGCTGCAGTCTTTTACAGCAAAGAATAAAAAAGCAATATTCACATAGCCTTACCCCTTATTTTGCATATTTGTAATATAAGTGTGTGTTTTACATTTTGGTGAGTAGAATAAACACTTTGGCTTGGAATGGAACTAGGCAAAGAGGGGAAATTGAAGGGTGATTGATAAAATAACACTTCTCTTCTTTCTATCTTCCCTTGCTACCTGCTGTTTTAACTTGCACTTTGAATTAGGCTGTAAAAATTACTCTGTAAACCCAATAGGGTACTTTTTCAATATAGAAAGGGCATATTCCATGAATAGGTACTAAAGCAAGCATTTGCTTTCCTGAAATAATCATGTGGAGAGCTTGCTTTGTGTCTCCAGAATTATTATTGTTTTCACTTTAAAATGATGCTAAGATAGTTACAATCTTTCTACGTGGCCAGCAATGCTTCCCACACCTGGTACACCTCACATTTATTCTTTAACTGGTATCTCTCTGTCTAAGAATGTGTTGTTGTTATATCTTTGCCTGTTTGGATTCTAGAAGTTGGTAGAAATAGTAAGTAAATTAGTGTTCATAAAAACAAACAAAACCCAGAAAAACCACCCTGTACTTACAACTGCATGTCAGACTTGACTGCCAATTTATTATGGATATACAGATATATGAGAGCATATTGACTGAGTCTGAATCCCCACGGTGAAATCTACATTATGACATACAAATATATTTGCAGAAATTCAAACACATTAAGGACCTTAATCAAGCAATCTATAGAAGATAGTCATTACTGACTTTAGAAGCGAACATTCATTGGTCTTAACTACTGGACAACAACTCACCTTCAGGTTTTTGTTATGACATATTTCCCGCATATACACACTAATAAGGTTAATAATGATTAGGAATACTTATTCCGTGACTCACATAGTTTTTGAGAACTCGGGGGAAAGTGACTTACTCGAAGCCAACTAATGAATGGTAGAGCAGACGTTAGAATCTGCATCTAGTGCACTATTCTTGAATCCATCCTATGCAAGGACTTATGGTCTTTTAAATTCTATGTTGGTTTATTTATGATGTATTTTTTCTGTCAGTGCTGTGAGAAACATGTAAACTTAATCTTGGTTTATTTACTCAGGCTATTTTGTCTAAAATAGGATTTGTGAAATAAAATAGTTTTAAAGCAGCTCTACTTTCAGTTTTATCTGTAAAGCGAATTGAAATCATCACACTTTTTTCATCTCTAGGTCAAGATGCTACCAACTCCTTCTAAATTTCATTACATTTTCAATCTTCGAGATCTTTCCAGAATTTGGCAAGGAATGTTAACCATAAAAGCTGAGGAGTGTAATTCAATGTTGGTTCTCCTGTCACTTTTCAAACACGAGTGCAACAGAGTAATTGCAGACAGGTATGTATTACAGCGTTTTGAATGTACTGTATAAGAAATTTACACTACTAGATTAATTCCTGCGTTATCTACTCAGATAAGTAGAATAAGAAGTGTTGCCTTAATTTGCTCTGGGCCTTGTGAAACATTGATGTCACTTCCCATCTGCTAATCACTTTAAAAAAATGCTCTGCTAATTTGCTTGAGTATTATTTCAACAGGACATCCTTTTAAATCACCTCATTATCAGAGAGTTGATAACATTCAGAGGCAAATTGTAGTTATGCATATTTTCTAAAAACTGTGAGCTCTGTGTAGGTTTTGCATGGGGAAATCCAGTCTATAAGCCCAGTCGTCTCTCTGAGACTCAGTTTCCTCCTCTATAAAATATGGATGGTAATGCCAGTCTTACAAAGTTATAAAGGGCCTACCATGGTGTCTCATACATTGGTGGTACTCGTCAAATGTTAGTCTGCCTACTTCCTCTCTTCCCCCTCTGATATTGTAAGTCTGAAAAGGACCTTCATGATCTGTGTGCCCGCAAACCCAGAAAGAGAATGCTCACCCACTACTGATCATCACTTCTGCATTCCTATTGCAAGTTTTAGGGACCTTTGACCTCACCTAAGTGACTCATCTGTATTGTTAAAGAAAAAAAATTATTCATGACACTTGTTAAAATGTTAAGGCACAGACTTTCCTCAGGACTGCCGTGATAGGTATAGGGGCCACTGCAATGGGGTTTGCGTTAGGGAAGAGGAATTGGGCTCAACTCCAAACACAACAAAGAAAAAGTGGGAATTTATAGCCAAGGAACAGGAGAGGGGAGGTTGGTGGATGGAAAATTACTAAGAGGAAAGTCAGGGGTAAGGGAGAGTTCTGGCTAAACTGACATAATAGAGTTCTTGCTGAAAGCAGGCCAGGGGGATCAGACGTTACCTGGGGGATAGCGGGGAATGAGGAATTTGGTCAGATATCAAGGGTGATCAGATATGGGGAGGGGGGGATTCTGACTAAACCGATGTGACAAAATTCTTGCTAAAATTGGGCGATGTGAAGAAGGACACAGAAGTCCAAAAGTCATGGCCTAGTTGGGAAGAGCATTCAAAGAAGCCTGACTTAAGTTTGGTCAAGGAGAGACTCTTTGTCAGTCTCTTCTCCAGATAATACTATCAGTGTTATGCTCTCTTGGGTGGAGTTATGTCCTTCTTATCAGAAGGCAGAACGTCTTGTTTCCCTGTTCTGAGGTGGCGGAGGAGCAGGCTGGGGGCTGAGAGGAGGTGGAGGAAGGTTGAAACCATGTTCAGTTAGGAAAGATGACTTCATATTTTGCATTTTTACTACTGTACTTCTATTTTAGATTTATAACTCCTGAAGACGAGCAGTGGTTTAATGCGCATCTTGTTCGTGCAGTTGAAGAAAATATTGGCTCAGATGTGGCGTCATCTATTCTTCCCGAGCCATACTTTGTAGATTTTCTCCGTGAGATGCCTGAACCAACTGGTGAAGAACCTGAAGACACTGCCTTTGAAGTCCCCAAAGTCTATGAATTGGTGCTTATTTTCATCGTTAGAAAGAGTTTTTTGGCTCACTCACGTAACTAGATTTTTCTCCCCGTGCTAGAGTCCCACCGTGGTATTGCCGTAACTTCTACGTTAGTTATGTGTCGTGATTCGTGTCATCATACACCAAGTAAAATATTTCTTTCAGTGAAATTTATCATCAATTCCATTAAAGTCAGGTCTAAGACAAGTATGTCTACAGTTGTCACTCATTTAATATTTCTTTGCAAGTTCTAGGCACTGCAACAAAATGACACAAAGAAAATAGATCTAATGAGGAGATAGGAAAAAACAAAAATATCATTATTTGCAGATGATGTGATTATCTTACTATAATCCAAGAGAACTTAAAATCCGTTTTAACTAGTAAGAGTTCAGTACGATAACCAAATATGATATAAATATAAAACTCAACAACTATGCTCTATACCAGAGGCAAATTACAGTCGATGGGCCGAACCCAGCCTATCACCTGGTTTTTGTTAGATTTGTGAGCTAAGAAGGGTTTTTACATTTTTAAATGGGTAGAAAAAAAATCAAAAGAAGAACAATATTGTGTAACATGTGAAAATTATATGGAATTCAAATGTCAGTGTCCATAAGTGAAGTCGTATTGTCACACCCCTGCCCATTCCTTTATAGACTGTCTGTGGCTGCTTTCGCACCACAATCGCAGTATTGAATAGTTGTGACAGAGACCAAATGAGCCACAAAGCCTAAAATATTTACTTTCTTGCCCTTTACAGAAAAAGCTTGCCAACTCTTGCCAACAATCATAAGATAGAAAATATACCAGAAAAGTATTTCATTCGGCAGTAACAAATAGATAAAATATCTAGGAATAAACATGATAAAACTTTACTTGATTAAATAGCAACACGTCATTCTTCCTAAATTAATGTAAAGGTTTAATGAAGTTTGAAACAAGAGGGTTTTTTTAAACAGGGTCACACAACAAAGTAATTCTGAAGTACACATAGATCAAAGAATTAAATGGGGAGAAACAATTTGCAAAACAAATATGCGAGTGTTTCCTTCAGAACAATTTGACTACGTAAACAATGTCAAACTTCTGTATATTGTTTAAAATCCATAAACGATATTAAAAAGCAAATAAAACTGAGAAAAATATTTGTTGTGTTCCAACATTAATTACCATGGGTAGGAGCTGGTGCCAGGGTCCTTGAAGGGAAAGGTCAGAAATGGTTTCAGATTGGAAACCAACTAATGCAGTTTGGTTTCAGGCCTCTGAAAATGGAAATAACTAAAAGTGGACTAATCCGTGATAAATCTTTGGAAATCCATTAGGTTTTTAAAACAATTTTTTAGAATTACTTTTGAGTGTCTTTACAATTGTGATTTTTATAAATATTTGGATCTTTATTATTTTTCTCTCTCTCTCCCCTCCGTAGGTCCCATCCTTTGACTTTCTGTCTGAAAAACTCCAGTTTTACCAAAGACAGTTTAATGAAATCATTAGAGGAACATCTCTTGATCTGGTGTTTTTTAAAGACGCGATGACTCATCTTATTAAGGTTCTAACTATTGACTATTTACTGATATAAATAGATTGTGTAAAAGTTTAGTAAATTTCACAGATAAACTTTATGAGAGAATAAATATGTATTTTCAGGCAGTGTATAGAAGAGTGACCATAGGTTGGGTCAGTTCACTGTCTTAGAAAACAAAGGCTTAATCAGAAACTCCTTATTTGAATCTATCTACCTGACAGCAGATGTTTTTCAAGGGCAAATTGATGGTTTTTATGTTCAGAGATTTTGACACACTGAGTCTCAGTTTTACCTTCCTAGAAAGTAAGTTGGAGAACACCGAGGAAGAAATAGTCCCTCCTCAAATTATATTTTGATATGATAGGAATCCTGTTCCCCCTGGAGGAAAAGTTGATGCTTTAAAAAACATCAGTTTCATGATTGGGTTACAGATCATGGGCAAACTGATGGGGAAGGGGTGGGCTGGGTATACAGGACTGGTGAAAAAATAGAAACCAATTGGAGGCAGCACTCAAAAGGAGCATAGTTTGATCCAAGTCTAAAAGGCTGCAGAAAGGAGTTATTTATATAATTTGTGGATCAAAAAGGAATTTCTCCAGGAAGTCAAAACATGGAGTAGGGAGGTTTAATAAAGAGCAGGCTGTTAGTTCTCTATTTATCATAAAGTTGTCTTCTGGCAAACTTGGTGAATTTCCAAATGTTCTAGGGCTGTTCCACATTCATCCATTCAGCAAGTAATTATTGAGCACCCACTGTGACAAGGTCTTGGGGGCCTGGGACTCTGTTCTAGGTGCAAAACCACAGAAATGGTTAATATATTAAAAATATAATGATAGAATTAATACATATCAAGTTGTTGTTACTGATCTGCCACCTGTAAAACTTGCATTAAAAAAAATTCTTTTTAGTAGTGATAATGAATTTAGTGATCCATCTAGACTTTCTCCCTAATGAGTGACGTTAATGTAAAAGACAACTTTTTGGTGATGTCTTGAACTGGCCTGCATAAAATTTGGACCGCAATTCCAGCCTTATCCTCACTGAGGAAATCAACCATATAGAAAAGCAACGCAAAACTAAAAGCTGTGTCTCTGATTTTTTTTTCCTCCAAAGCCTTCCTGCCCCCATTGTGAGTAGAATTTGGGTACTTTTAAAAAATTTTCATTGGCAGAGATATGCTAGAGGTAGTATTTGTTGTAGAGCTGGGTGTCTACATACTTCAGTGTGTTAGGCTGATGGATAATATGCAAACGATTCTAAACTCCTTTCTGCAGGTTGGGAAGAGCAGCTCCACCATCCACTGAGTCTAAAAATAATAAAATTACACACACATACAGGATAGTTTGAAATAGGAAATAGGAAAGCCAATTTGTACTCTTTTTGAGTAAATGATGATATAAATGTAAACAGGCAAGGAAAGAATTTGAATCAAATAAATCAACCTGAAACTTTAATTTTTAAAATTCTGGGATACACCGTTAGAGAGTCTAATGTAGTCTAGAAGCATATGGTCAAACCTTGGACCCATTTAGTGCAAGAAAATGTAAACAGTTGAATCCTATTTTCAAATAAATACTGTTTTATTTCAAAACAGATTTCACGAATAATTCGAACATCATGTGGAAATGCATTGCTGGTGGGTGTTGGTGGTTCAGGAAAACAAAGCCTTTCGAGATTGGCCTCTTTTATAGCTGGATATCAAATATTCCAGATAACATTAACCAGGTAAGATAAAAGAAAACACGACAATACGTTTTTCTATAGGTAATTTCTTTGGAGTAAAATGTTTACTTAAAAAAAAACACAACAACTTGGTATATTTATTTTTTAAGTAAACTATTCATTGAAGTGTAACATATATAAGGAAATATACACAAATCATGGCCGTCACAAAGTAGGTACACCTATGTGGCTAGCCCACACATGAAGAAAACCCCAGAAATACCCCTCAGGTCCTGTCCCAGTCATTACCCTCCCAAGGGTAACCATATTTGGACTTCTAAGCCCATTGATTAGTTTTGCCTGTTTTTGAACTTTATATTGATCGATGCATGCAAGCTTGACTTTTTTGTGTCCAGTTTCTGTTGCTTGCACTATGTATGTGAGATCCATCCATGATGCTGCATGTACCAATAGCTTGTTCATCTTTACCACTGTATAATCTTCCACTTGATCGTGTATTACCACAATTTGCTTATCCACTGTACAGTTGATAAACATTTGTGGAGTTTGTTTTTTTTTGGCAAATAGAGCTGTTCTGAATATTCTTGTACATGTCTGAGTATACTCTTAGAGATGGAATTGCTGGATGTGAAGCATGCATATGTTCAGCTCTAGTAGATTTATGGAGTAGTTTTCCAAAGTGGTTCTACCAGCCTACACTTCCACCAGCAGATCATGAGAGTTTCAATTCTTCCACATCCTTGCCTGCCCTTGGCATGGTGAGTCTTTTTCATTTTAGCAATTCTTGTGGGTATCCAGTGGTATATCATTGTGGTTTTAGTTTGCAATTCCCAGATGGCTAATAATGTTGAACACATTTCCATCTCTTATTGGCCAGTTGGACAGCCTCTTTTGTGAAATATCTGTTTAAATCCTTTGCCCATTTTTTTTTTTTCAACTGGGGTGTGATTCTCTCTCTTATTGGCTTTTAGGAGTTGTTTATGTATTTTGGATATAATTTTTTTGTCAGAGTGTGTATTGCCAATACCTTCTCCCCGTCCTTGTCTTGCCTTTTCACTCTTGGTGAATCTTAATTTTAATGAAGCTTAAAAGTTTTCAATTTTTTCCCTTTATTTTAGTGCTCTTTGTGTTCTGTTAAAAAAAAATCTTTGTTTATCTCAAGTCCATGAAGATATTCTCCTGTGATTTCCTGCACATTTACAAATAAAATTTACTATTTTTACATTTAGAACCATAATTCATCTAGAATTTATTTTCTTATAAAGTCTGAGGTAGGAGTTAATATTATTATTATTATTTTTGTGTGTGTGTGAGGAAGATCAGCCCTGAGCTAACATCCATGCTAATCCTCCTCTTTTTGCTGAGGAAGAC